GGAACCAGCCATGTCTGAATGCTGCAGACTTTGAAATAACGTGAGTAACCTAAGAAAGCCATTCACAGCGTATCTGCAAACAGTATTCCCCAGATACACAGGGGTGAAGAGCTTACTGGGATGAAGACCCAGCATGAGATTCTGCTCTGAACTTGAACTGAATTGAAGGAATTTTTTGTGTGTGCTGTTTTGAAGACATTTGGGTGCTTCAGATATCTTCCTTCGTCTCCTCTCCCCAGCTTGGCAAGAACTAGATGCAAAAACACTGTAAGGCAGGCTTTTGCAAAGGGGGAATTGAGTCATGGAGGAGCTGAATGCCACATATTTAAAGTCAGTGTTTGTCTTTGCACTTCACAAAGCTGGTGGTTGGAGGAGGTGGGGGTAGGTGACATTGGATCATCTTCTATAACCCTGTAATAGCTGTGTAGAAACAACTGACCTGTTTGAGGGTTTAATTTCAGCTTTTGCCACCTGGCTGTGAAGCCCTAGCTTACAGACTCAAATGTGCTCTTGTGTTTGGGTACAACAGTCCGCTCTTTCTTTAGATGCTTCCATAAATCCAGTGGGCACTGAGAGAAATTCTCTCTGGAAGTAAATGGTTATCGGGTACCTCTTTGCACACCTGCAGATCTGTGCATTTCTTGTCAAAGGGTTACCCGCACTTCCTTGGTTGTGCTGATGGGGTCTGTGAGAACTGAGATGAAGAAAACCAGCTGGGTTGTGCACTCCATGGTCTCACAGGCAGGCCTCTCCCAAAGCAGCTCTGGTGCGGTGAGGTGCTCTGATAGCTGTACTGCAGCAGCACTAGCAGTGGGGCACAGTGTTCCAAAGTGTTCCTGTGTGCAGGGTTTGCCAGGATCCCAGCCCTGCTGCAGAATTACTCTGCAATCTCAGTTCTGCTTTGCTTGAAGTTCACTCCCTAGAGCACAGAGCTGCAGGAGGAGCCTGGAAAATGTGACAGGAAAGTGAACCAGTGCCATGCTGCCTCCCCAAGCTTGGGAAGGCTGTGGAATATTGGCCCTGGAACTGCTCCCTGCGCTTCTGTCAGTCCTCTGGATTTCATGATGTTTGGGCATCGGTGTGTGCTACTTCAGCCTTGTTCTCCTAGAATTTGGGAACTAGAATTTGTTTTTTTGTCTTGTTGGGGGTTTGCTTTCAGTAGCTTCTTGGAGAGGTCTTCAGTGGATTATGTGTTTCCTGAAGTACGGCATAGAAACTCAGTGGGAAGTTGAGAGACTTTGGAATTCATCTTGCACCTCCAAAGTGGATGTTTTGTGACCCTTCTGGAGAATGCAGTCATCAACGCTTTGCATGTTGAGTCGAGACAGTGAGTTACAGGGACCTGCCAGGAGGTGTAGCCAAAACTCACGAAACCAGGGTGTGTTTGGAGTGGAGAGACTCATGTCTGTATGAGCATGAGGTGTATGAAGGGGATGAGGCAGCAGAGATTATTTCTGGAAGTCAAGAATTGGTGCTGTTGCAACACTTAAGGATCCTTAATGGAGCAGTAGTTACTGTTTCTGGGCATGGAAAAGGGCACAAACCCCATCTTAGGAGGCTGAATGCACCGTTTTGCAGAGGAGTGTTTGCTGCATGTTGCTGGTTTGGTGAGAGCAGTGAAAGCATTTGGTTTGGAAGGGTCATGTCCAAAGAGTGAAGTTCTCAGTGAACCTCACGTTTGTAAGAGATCAAAATAATCATCTTTTAGAACAGAATACTTCAGTTGGAAGGGACGCACACCAATCATGCAGTCCAACTGTGTGACCACTTGAGGGCTGACCAGAAGTTAAAGCGTGGTATTGAGGGTATTGTCCAAATGCCTCTTAAACCGTGACAAGCCTGGCATCGTCTACCTCTCTAGGAAGCCTGTTTCAGTGTTTGACCTCCTTCCCAGTAAATAAGTGCTTTCTAATGTCCAGATATGGCATAATCATTGCCAGTAGATGGGAGGTGGTTTTGGATGGTGTCATCCTATACAGAACAAGAGTAGCAGAACCAATGACTTACTATGATCGGAAAACCTGGTCCCAAGGTAGAGATTAACTTGGGCTGTCATGCTGTTGGTACTTCTGCAGTGTAAACCTGAAAACGTGACAGGTTTCTGGGCAGATTCTTCTTGACCTGTCAGGTGTTCTCCAAGTTGAGGTTGGAGCGAATCAGTGCAAAACACTTAAAATCTGAAGTGTGATGGAACAGTGAATGTTCTTTTGTTGTGCTGCGGTGCATGGCAATTCTCAAAATCAGAATGAATGGAAGAGCAGATGGGCTCTGCTCAGGAAAACCCCAAATTGTAAGTCTCTTGGTGTGTATTGCCTTGTGGTTTGCTTTAGTTTGCATTCAGACCAGCTTTAGAAAGTTAGTATCAACCGTTAAACCTTTTAGACTGTCTTCCCCCCTCCTTTTCTTTTTTCTTTCCTCTGGTTTAGAAGTGAATAAAAGAGCTTTGTATGGTTCTTGAAACTGAGCCTGAACCAGCTCTGAACAAAATACAGTGTTCCTTTCAAAATCTTGGAAATAATGACATCATAGGCAAATTGGGCCAGGAACCGTTAATAGTATTCTTTGTGGAATGAAATCCCGTGGGAGGACCTATTTGAGCAGAGTGGCATTGTTTACAAATAGATGCAGTGACAGATACAGTTGCCCCATTCTGAGGGACAGCTGAAACTGTGCCTGTAATGGACTCACAGAGTGACCCTCTGGCTTTGTAGCAAGCTGAGAACATGCCCTGGTGCTTCTGTGGTCAGGCTCATGCTGATGATCTTGGGGGTGAAGGCTCTTTGGCACTGGAGAAGTGGTTGTAGGTGGGTTAAAGAGCAGATAAAAGCCTCTGTGGCCGTAAGCTGTCTGTGAGAGTTGCTGGAGGTGCCAGGAGCTGTGACTGGATGTCTCTGTTGGGCTTCATAAGCTGGGAACTCCCTTATGCATCCCTGTGCAGAAATACTTGGGCATCACTTACTTCCCCTTCACCAGCGTAACACATGCAGCACGTGCAGTTCTCCCTATTACCTTACAGTCATTTTCATCACTGGGTCTTCTTTTCCTTCTTTTTTCTTTTTTTTATTCCTCATTACTGGGAAACCTTCTGCATTTCAGGATAGAAATCACACGGATCAGTAGTGTTGACCGCTTGGCTAAACCCACAAAGGCATTGAGTTCTCTAGGTAGATAACTACTCTCTGCTTGAAGGTTGTACTCAGGGCACAATTACAGCTATTCCTTGGTTATTGCCTACATCTGTGCTTCCATAGGAGGGTGGGCTGTGTTCCTCCATCACCAAAGCAGGTCTCCTGGTAGCTCTCCACCTGGACAGTGCGGCTGTGTTGGCAGAACCCTCTTCTAGGGACTGGACATGCGTTTGTGAGTCAGGTTCTCCAGGACATCAGCTTCATGTTGTAGGTACTAGGGAGAGGGCTGGGACCAGCAGTTGCTAGAGTTTTCAACTGTGTGACTCTAGGACAGGTCCCTGGGATCCCTTGGGGATCCAGATGTTCAGGAGCACTGCTTAGTGGAGCTAGGGATTGGAGCAAAACAGAGATGTGATGGTGTATTTCATTTATTATTCTTGTCACTAGGCAGATGCTTTGGATTTCAGATCTGGCATTCTGGGATCTCATACAGGTGAAATGAAAAATGTAGCTCAAGTACTAAAAAAGTGATCGTTTTAGATGTGGTAATTTGAAAATGGAAACAAGTACCAAAATGCCCATGTCATGAAAACCAGTCTAGAGTTGACATCTCTGAGTGTTTCAGTTGGTCATTCTGGTTTTATATGGAAGGTACTGTCAGTTAAGGCAGTGTGTTATCCACTACTAATATGGAAATGCCAGCAAAGTTCCAGCTATATTGAAATAAATGCACTTGTTGAAAGTGTTAGCTCAGGTTTGGGGGGTTTTTGTAAGAAAAGCAACCAAAGACCCCTGAAACCCCTCAGCCACACCAGCTTCACCTGACCAAAGCACTGCTGTTCCATTTGAGCTTTGGAACCTCTGTGCAAGTGATGGTCACTGTGTTTGGCTGATACTTCTGAAACAAACCTGCAGCTTCCACAGCTGAAAAACATCGCTTGCTTCACTTCAAATACAAGAGAGCAGCCAGTGACTGCGATAACCTGTGTTAACTGTGAATCAGCACAGGGAGGGATCTGTAACATGTGCCCAGTGCTCTGCACGTGCCTCCCAGAACAGGAGCCGCATTGATTTTAGGGGGTTGGAAGCAAGGTGCCTGTGGAATTGTAACCTTTAAGAACACGCAGTGTAGCCCACATCGCATCTGAGCTGTCTGAAATCACACTCTGTTTTCAGGTTTTAAATCAGTTGGGTTTACCAAGCCTTGCTTGTTTGCTAATCCAGCTCCTTAATCCAGACTTGAATTTTAGGATTTAAGATACACTGTGTGTTCCCAGCTTACTAAAGTTTTGTGACGATTTCTGGGTGTTATTTTCCTTCAGTCGGCACCCCTGGTTTTTGTTCATGTTTATGTGCAAGACGGTTTTTAATCGGTACTTCTGGATGAATTTCCTTTGGGAAGATCATTCCTTTCGAAGCCCTATGTTCTTAGGACTAAAGCCTCCCCAAACACAGCAGGGAGGGAATAGAGACCTTAACGCTTGCTATCTGTAGCCCCCCAATGTGTGCCTTGTTTCTTACACTGTAAAAATGGCTCATTGTCGTAACAGGTAGTTTCAGTCAGTCCTCTAAATGTTGCTGGTTTCAGGGGACAATTTGAATTGTTAACAGCTACAGGAAAAGTTGCAAAAAAAAACTTGAAGAGCCTTTAGCAGGGGTGTAAAAACCTTTGTTTTAATGGTAATACCGTGATTTTTAGGAATTGGCCACTGCATGTATTTATAGCAACCAGCAGTAACCTTATCCAGAGCAAACCTTCCATAGAGAGGCTTCCTTATCCCACCAGAAGGCTTTTCTTGCCCTCTTCCCTCCCCAGGACATGAGCCTTGACATCCTCACTTGACAGGCGTGCTTTGTGTTCTGCCTTTGCAGGAGGCTGTGAGGGCTGCTGAAGATGTCCGATAGTCTGGATGTTGAAGAGAAACCTCCAGCCCCACCGTTGAGGATGAACAGCAACAACCGCGATTCTTCAGCACTAAACCACAGCTCAAAACCGCTCCCCATGGCCCCTGAGGAGAAGAACAAGAAAGCCAGGCTTCGCTCCATCTTCCCAGGAGGAGGGGATAAAAGTAAAGTATCAGCAGTGCCAATGGGTGGCTCCGTCTCTCTTTGCCTCTGTTGGTTCTTGGTTGCTGTGTTCTATTTCTGCCACTGTTTTCTTTTTGGTTTGGGTTGCCGGACATGGTAAAGTCCTTCCAAAGCCTTCTGTTGCCATTACTCTGGTAACATGTTTCTAAAGAGGAGGAGGTGTTTGGTCAGTTACTTTCTTGTCTTTGAAAATCCAATAAAACCTGCACGTGTTGTGCAGCTTGCCCTTTAAGAGTGACTTCATAGTGAAGCTGGGGAATCCTTTCCTTTGGCTTTGCATTTGCAGTAAAAGCAGAGGTAAAGTTGTGTGCTTTTGAAAATAGATTTGCAAAAGTGAGAGGCAGTATGCCTGATGGTTTGGGTTTGGTTTTTAGTGCAATCCTAGAATTACTTACATTCTAGGAGCAAGAGCAAGACTCTTGTTGGTTTTGCAGTGAGTGCATGCGGAATGGATTGGTTTAAAACCTGCTTGGTGTGGTTACAGCAAAAGAGTCTTGAACATGCAGGAAGCAGTATTTCACTTGCATTCTTTATCACGTGTTTGCAGAAAGGAGTGTGTTTTGAGTTAGTGTGTTTACAGAGTTAAGGGAAGGGATCTTTGTAATGCTATGGGACCTGGTGGGCCGTACCCACAAGTGCTGAGGAGCTGGCTGATGTCAGGGCAAGGCCACTTCTGATTACCTTTGAAAAGTTATGGTGACTGGAGATGGTCCTAAGAAAGCAAATGTCACTTCTGCCTTTACGCAGGAGGCTCTGGGGAGCTATGGGTCAGTCAGCCTTGCCTTGTCCTTGGGAAGCTAGCTGAGCAAACCCTCCTGGAAATCATTTCAACACAAATGAAGGACAAGAATGTGGTCAGCAAGAGTCAACAAGGATTCATGAGCCTTCACGTGAGCCTGTTGTGTGAGGGCTGTGCCTGCATGGGCCCGTTCCTCAGGCAGAGCAGGCCGGTTCACTCTGCAGAGTGCTTCCCAAAATGTCCCCTTTTGTGAACAAAGTTAACGTTGAATTGATTCTTTAAAGGCCAAAATGAAAATCTCTCCCGGCTTAATTCCTGCAAGGCCTTGGGTCACTTCCTGCCCTGACTGCCAGCAGGATGGTATTATCCCTCTCCCAGGAAACATTTCTTAAGGAGGAGGTGCTGTGTAAAACACATGCAGAAATGGGCAGCTCCAGAAGCAATCCCTCCTGGACATGACATTAAAAATGTCTTGAGCTGCCAGACAGAGCAGTCGTCGAAAACATACACGGACCGTGATTTAAAATGTGATGTGAAGGAAAGGAAGCTAAAATTTATAGCTTAATTTTGTTGCTGAAATAATAGAGAACATGTAGCTTGGCTGGCCAAGCTGCTTGAGGTGGTTTCATGTTGGGGTTGGTTTGTGGGTCAAACAGACCTGGCCTGTGTGTACTCCACAAGCTCAGTGACACGTTTTTGAGAGTCCTGCTTATAAAAGAGAAGGGGATTGATACAGCTGCTCTCATCTAGTGCAGTGCTTTGCAGCATCCCAGCTTTGTGGTAACAGTGCACTACTAGTAAGCAGAAGTGAAGAAGCCACCATGGCAGGAGGGGTGTATTGTGAGGGGCATGTATAAGAAAATGAAATACCCCTGAATGCAGTCAGTCATTGCTACAAGGAAGTCATGCCTTCTTGTATAATTTTGCCAGCTTATGTAAAACAGAAGCAATTTGAGTTGCAGGGCACAGACAGAAGTGTCAGGCTTTTTAGACCGGGGAGGGATGAGGGTGTTTCAAGATGTTTAATTGTATATTTAATTTACAGCTTTTCAGTATTTGGACCATAGGTGTTACATCCACAGTCTGGTAGGCAAAGGTTCATGAAGCAGATGAGCCAAATCTTGGGGAATGAGCTGGAGCGCTCGTCCCCGGCAGGAGAGGCCTGGAATGGGCAAGTGATGCATTTGATGGAATGCCTTATTTTGCTTCTAGATTTGACTTTTGCTTTGAACTGAATTTGATGATCCTTTAAATCTAATTTTCACTGCATTTGCTTGTAAATGATGAGGTAGGAGAAGCCAGTTCTGTTATCTGCAATGGAAAGTTACATATGCTGAACAGAGATGACATCTTGTAACTGGCAACATCTATCCTGAAAATTACACAACATCATCTTAAGAGATGAAAGGAGGGGAAAAGCCTTTGCATTTGTATTTGATATATTGTTGCAGTATTAACTGAATGCTAAATGAAAACTATTCATCAGGGAACATTGTATGGGGGTGTGCAGTGCAGACAAAGGGTGACAGTTAATTTTTTAATGAGGACAAGTGGAACAGTGCAGAGAAAGGATTAGATACATCCAAACTACTCTGGACTGTAATTATGAAGAGCAGAGCATCTTCCAGCTGAAGGAAGCTATAAGATAGAGTAAGACAAACAAAATTGTCTTTGTTCAGCTGGTTTTGGTGTGCATAACGTGCACATGAAAACTGTCCCTGTGTTAAGGGAATACATCAGGCAAAGGCAGGACCTGAACAGCTGCCCCTTTCTCTCCTGCTGATGTGTAGCTATGGCATGTGTATTCACTTTTCATATTATCATTAATAGATGATACACTGGCCTATAGAGATCCTGATATAGAGTCCCCTTGTGATAGGCACAGTATAAACCTCTCGTGTATCTGTGGGCAGTGTGATATTTGCCCTGTTCCAATCATTAGCATGTGATTTTTCCCCGATTTCAGTGACAAGATGTATTTGATAGGAAGGCAGTTCCTTTCTCAGTTATTGCAGATACACCACTGCCACTAGAGAGGATCCTACAGGTAGCTCTGTGCTATGTTGCTCAACCATGTAATAGTCTTGGAGCACACTGGTTTTCCAGGGAAGCCAGATATTTCAGGTACCTGCCAGCAGGATAGATGGCTGAAGATGGATGTACTCTGTGTTTATCTGGATGTCTGGGAGTGCTCCAGAACTGCCACTGTTGCACCATTTTTCAGAGAAAACTCTATTGAACATGGGTTCTTGGTGCATCCGAGTGAAGGCAGCTTCTCTCAGCCTTTATTCACTTGTTTGTTATCAGAATCAATAAAACTGGGCTGAAGTGAAATTTGTCAGTAGTATTAAAGCACAGGAGATGGCTGACCACCAGGAATGTTACCCTCAAAATATGTTAAAATAGAAGGGAGATGAGAAATATATGGAGATTGAGTGACTTTCAGGTCTGTCTCCTTCAATAAGATACTTCACTCTGAATTCTGGTAGAGTGATTTAAAAACAAGGAATTCCTGGAGATTAGTAAAGCCTGGTTTTTATGGCTATACGTCTTAGCTGATTAACAGCTCAAATGAAGCTTTTCCAATGGCATTTATGGGATCTTGTTGCTGTGCAGATTCTGTGGTTTCTAATACAGAGCTGCTGCTTGAGCCTTTTAATCTGAGAGGAGCCTTCTCCTCAGCTGCCTGTGTTCACAGGGCTTGTAGGAACCTCGTTGTCTCACAGAACTTCCCCTCTCTGACTTGGCTGGGCTTGAAAACAGGCTCAAAGTACACTGGAGAAGAGACACGCATGCAAACAGGCATGCACATGTGTGTGCTGGGTGCTTTGCTTCTGCAGGAGCCCACAGAGCAAAGTCAGACAGGACTTAGTTGATAGATACGAAACCTTGATGAAGAGCAGAAAGAACTGATACCAGAAATCATACTGGTCAGAAATAGCCTAAGATGACTGCTTCAAGAGCAGCTTGCTTTGGCAGCAGTGGTACTGGTTGGAAGAAAATCAGAATGAAGTAACACCACCTAGGCTTTCCCAGGCAGGGGCTGACAGGTAGGCTGGTGTGTATTAGCTTGGGTCTATTTGTCAAGTAAGATGGATGTTAATTGATTTGGTTTCCACGTTTAAAGTGCTGTTCTGAGCGCACCTGCTAGTGAGAATGTTTGAATGCAAAGCTGCACAGAAAATAAGTGCGTGTTAACGTTTTGCCTCTAGCCAACAAGAAGAAAGAGAAAGAACGTCCTGAGATCTCTCTTCCTTCAGACTTTGAACATACCATTCATGTGGGATTTGATGCCGTCACTGGAGAATTCACAGTAAGTAACCATGCTGCGTTGCGTGCTTACCAGAGCTTCTAGTTTCGTGGTGGTAAAATAACCTCCTGGTGCCAGAAACGTCAGATGACAGCAGCCAGGCTCTGAAGAAAGAGACTTTTATTTGTTGGGCTTAAGATTTGGAGTGGGTTACTTCTGATTCAGGCTGCTTTATGGTTTGTTTCTCCAAGGATTGTCAGCAGAGTGTCTGTGGCAAATGGAAACTAGGAAGAACGTAGGTGTGTGCTTCTGTCAGTCCCACAAGCTGCTACAGGGGTTGGTTATTCAGCATCTTTGGGAAAGCATAAAGAAACCCACACACATGTGCATAGTCTGTGTCTGGCTGTAGACAAATCAGTCCCAAAGTGCAAAGTCCAGCTGCTCTGCAGACAGCCTTTGGAGACACCAGACAGCAGCAGCATTGTGGATGTCCATTTTAATTCAGTATCTTTCAGAGTATGTCCATAGGCTAGCTGATCAGACACGTTTCTAGCCTTTATGTATTAATAAAACAGCAGCCAGCTTTTTCTACCTGCATCACAATGAAGTGTTGGGGAAAATGAGTCTTGATAGGAACTCCTTGAGGTGTGCAGGGGGCTCAAAGCGTTTTCTTTCAGACTTGCTAGTTAAGTGCTGAAGCCATTAATCCTTAAAGCTAAGGTGGCAGAAAGCCTACACTTGGTTGAGCTGTGGAGGGGAGAGGAAGCATTAACAACTCTCTGTACCATCAGCAGTACCCTGTGAGCTATGTGGTCAGACTGTGTTAGCGCCATACGTTGGATTGTGCAGTGTGCTAGTGCTGACAGGCTGCATACACCAAACAGGATGGGACAAATCATTTGCCCAGAAAAAAGGTGACTCGTTTTTAGAATGCGAGTCCTAATGTGACTTCATCAGTTTTTAACTTTGATTGCTACTTTTGGCTCTCATAGACACTTCAGAAACTACGTGTGCTACAGCAGCAATAGTAATAACAGTAACAGTAGAAGAAAAGACACATCTAATGACAGTGTCTTCAAAGGAGGAGTGAAATGGAAGTATCCTTAGTAATGCAGAGATACAGCTACGCCTGAAGTATGCAGACTAGTTCATTAGCCTTTATAAAATAGATGTCACTTAAAAAAATCATACTTCAGAACTTGTTCTGTGCCAAACCCTAGGGCTTGATTAACTGCTTATTTAAAAAGCCCAGATGTGGTCATTTTTGATCAGAATCTTAGCATAAAGCTTTTAAAACTGTGTTTTCCCTGCTCTCTGTCCTGGTTTTCCTCTTATTTTTTGTCTCAGTCTCTCCCATCTAGGCACTTTGTTCAGGTTAATCTTCAATGCCATTATCTTGGAATTGTGTTACTTTCTGCTTTTGTTTGCCCCCTCTTGTATTTGCATCCCACGTTCCTGTTTATCTTCTATTTTCTTCCTTTCCTTTCTTCCCCATTTCACTGCTCTCCCCACTGAATGTTCAGCTGGTCTTATTCTATACTTCTTCTTTCAGCCTTCTGCCTTTATTCCTACCCTGTGCTTCAGACTTTTTCCTTGTGGCTCTGTGAAAATGTGACGGGTCACAAACATGTTCTCTTGCAGACTGACTGGTGGCGAGGATCCCAGTTGGTCTCAGGTCCCCTCCAGCTACATCAAAAAGGAGGGATGTTGAGGTTAATACATTTGAGTCCTCAGCACAAGCACTCCCTCTCAGTACTTCAGACATCAGTTTGAATGTTTTGATTATCATCCAGTGTGTCCGGAGCATCAGAGATTTTTGATTATTGTTTTTAATTCGGTTTTTGGTGTCAGATGCCCCCAGCACAGGTCCTGGCCTTTCATGGAACAGAGTGATTGTACAAGGCTAAACATAAAACAAGGCCGTAGCACTGCTTGTTTTAAAATCGTTTTCCCTTTCAAAACAGCAGACATTAGGTGTCTGCTGTTTTACAGTAACACAATACTTCTGCAGTAATACTTGTTCCTAAAGTTCCTATCAGCTCCCAAGTAATCCCAGATGCAGGTGTTGTGTTGCACATCACACTAGGCATGTTTGATTTGTCCCAACCTGGATACAACCCGTGTATCAGCCTGCTAGTTACATGGTAAGTACATCCTGCTCAAGGGACTGCCACTAGCCATATCATGTACAGATATTCCCACTGTCTAGTGATCACACTGTCTGTCTCCTTCAAAAGTTTGGAAGTGACATGGGAATGTCCAGTAAATGTGCAAATACACGGGGGTTTTGTTTTGAATTGTTACAGTTGTCATGCCAGTAGTGTCTGCTCCACTGCTTATGTGCAATGCATTGGGCCATTTCTGACACCTGACAGTCACCCCCCTCCAGCTGCATTATCTGATTGCTCTTAGTTGCATCCCAAGTCAAAGTTGCATGGACTCCCAAGTTTCAGCTTTCAGGCTTGAGCACCAAGCTGTGTTGTTGCTCGTGAATGCGTGTTACATCTACATTTCACTGTGCTCGGGGCAACCACATTTGCTTAGAAGGAGAGCTTTTAAAGCTCGAAATGAAGTTGGTTGGAAACTGTTGGGTGGGGGCATGCTGCTAGAGCTTTATGTTGGTTTATTTTGAAGGAGCAGTTGCGTTTTCTGCCTGGAGGAAGGAGTGTATTGGGGAGCGCATTTTGTAAGGCATGTGTTTCTGAAGTGGTTTCGTGATCCCCAGTCTAGAACAAAACGTGGTCACCCACCAGACTTCTCAGGCTTCAAGATTATGACATTAGCAAGTGGGGGAAAAGTTGTGGCTGTAGATCTAAGGAGGTTACAGGCTATTAACCTAACTGCTCATTCCGTTAGAATTGTCCTGGTTGTCAGGCTGACACACACAGGTTATTTGTGTTATGACCGTACCCAGTCTCCCAGTGTGAAGTCTGAGTCTGATCAGCTGCTTTTTCCACTGCACTTGGTTGGCTCTTACACTGGCCAGTTGGGATCTTGGGGCTGGAGAACCACCGGAAAACACTTGTGTAGAGCCATTAAAAACTGCTAACCTGGCTTTCAAATGAGGCAAGCAGCAAAAGCCCAGATCTTTCTCTGTTATTTTTTAACTAAAGAGATCACAGGTCATTTTTCCAGTCACTTGCCTTTAACCCCCAGTCATGTATTTTTATAAGGGAGAGAAAAACTGGTTTAAGAAAAGAGGAGGGGGAAAGATGCTTCCAAACTTTGGAACAGTTGTGATTTTTCTGTTTCCCTAAGCCTACCTTCCTGTAGCCTGTCCACCACCTAATCCATTTGTTACCTACCTCCTAACTCCCATTTTAGATGGGACTTCCCCATTTTGGCCCATTGGTTTCCTCCTACCACCTTCTAAGTTGTCCCACATTCTGTTTTAACTTTCTTTTCTTTCTTTATTTACGTCCATTACAGCCAGATCTCTATGGCTCACAGATGTGCACAGGGAAGCTCCCAGAGGTGCGTCACAGGCCCAAAAGAATCTTGCATCCAAATGCTTCTTTGAGATGTCATAGCACTGCAGCAGCAGGTTGATGTGTGTGCAGTAGATTTGTTGCTTGGCTTATCCCACTCTTTTTGTCATTAATCCTAAACTTTGGAGGCCCATGTCACACATTGTTTTGTGGAGAACTTCTTAGGAAGAAGCTACCTCAGAGCGTTTCCCAGATTGGGGTGGCACTAAGGCTAAATGTAAACGATGCTTCAGGTGTGGTTTCTCATTCAGTAAGTCCTACAGTTTGCTGGTAGATGTTGGCTGTGCAGTAATGGGGGAATATTACAGGCTTTCAAATTTAGGAAATTATACTGGATATTTAAAGCAATTTTCCATCAATACGTTTCCAGTGCAGAGCTGCAGCTTTCACTGATTGGATCAATTTTCAAATGCCACCCTCACTCATCAGATGTCTGAGAACTCCTCCAAGGCTTTGGCACTCGCAGCCTGTTCTCCCAGTCCCTGCTTTCTGTATATTTACATTAAAGAACCGACTGAGCTCCAGCAGCTCGATAAAGAGACGCCCTCAGCAGCAGTGGTACAACTCAGGGTCACGATTTTGAGGATTTAAATGCAGATTCTTAACCCCACAGTGTTCCCTGGTATGCTGGAAGTTAATTGGCTAAGGATGGGGTTAACCTTTTAATCCGACAGCAGTGAACATCTCAGCAAAATGTGTTTGCTTTATTAAGCATTAAAAATCCAGTGTAAAGCTCCTAAAATACACCGTGTTGTCCACATAGAATAGCCTTGTTATGTCTGCACTGAATCACCAGGAAAACAAGCTAAGCCTTAACTCATTATTCCATGGAAGAGCAGGGTTGATTTAAAGATGAGTTTCATGCACTTTTTTTCCTATCACAGTCATAACTTTCTTTTCTTTTTAAAGTTGGATCCTGGTTGTAGCTCTGTATTTTGATAGAGAAGAGAATGAGTGCATCTGATGTATAGGCTCCTAATTTGAATTGTAGGGTGTCAATCAATGTTTCTCAAAGTAATCTTACAGGTAGCATGGGATCTTGGTAAAGATCTGTGAGGCTGTGGCTGTTAAATACTCTAAACTCGCATTCTTTCCACTTGACACCTACAGGGCATTCCAGAGCAGTGGGCCAGGCTACTACAGACCTCCAACATAACCAAACTGGAGCAGAAGAAGAACCCACAAGCTGTTCTAGATGTTCTCAAGTTCTACGATTCCAAAGAAACAGTTAACAACCAGAAATACATGAGCTTTACGTCAGGAGGTAAGTCGACATCTCGCTGCAAAGAAGGGAGTGTCAGGCCCCAGAATGAGTCAGACCAAAGTTCCACATCCAGGTGGCCAAGAAGCAACCTTAGAAATACTCCTGCAATCAATTACATTCCTTGTTGTGTCCCCTGATGGCCCTGAAACTGACTTTTCTTTGTTGCTTGTTTTCAAAACTAAATAAGATACTAGATGGAACAGTCATTACCATTTTTAGTCAGAGGCATTGGTGGCCAAAGGCTGTGTTTACTTCTGTTCCCTCGCATCCTTGTTCTTTCCCAGTGTTCACACTGGGGTACAGGGTATACTCGTTTTGTGCATTTCAGGAGTTATGCATCCTTTGAGAGACAGGTTATGAGCTATGAGGATTTTTGGTGATACTTTGTTATGGAGGAGAATTTTCAAGGTTTTGTGTGCAATAGCTGTAGAGAAGTTTCTATGCATAATTCTCAAACAAACCTAAAAAGGCTTCTCTTGTGATGTTAAAGGAATGTTGCCACAGAGGATGCGCAAGGAAGAGTCAGTGTCCAGAGCAGTCTCCATAGCAGAATCCTCATGACTTAGGCATCGCCATCCAAAAGAAGCCAGCAGACACGATGGGGGTGTCATTCATTCCCTTGTGTAGGGGCTGCAATACTGCAGCATGGCACTGTGAAAATGAAGGAGCAAGGCTGTGCTGCAGCGTGTGGTTTTCTCTATTTGGCTCATTGTTTTATTTACTAGAGACACTCCTGCAGCTGACATGCCAAGCAGGCAAGCAGAGGGTTTCACTCTAAGGGTGCAGCTTATCTGGCTTTTGTGTCAACATCTTCTTTGCTATTCCTTAATGACTGAGTTGATTTTTAAACAGAAGTGCCATTAAGATACCATTAGTTTGGTGAAGCTGGCATCAACAGCTCCAGGTAATAATGGGGTGTCTCTGTCCAACAGGATGAGGACAGCATTTGTAATTCAACCTGCTGTGGGTCAGTTCCATACCCATGACAGCCTGTGGCAGCAGAGTCTGTGATTTCCTCAGTGTGCTGGTTCAACCAACGCAACTGCTAAAATGCAGACTGGGGGAGCTCCAGCTTTACCAACATTTCTCTCACGTTGAGGGAAAGCATCTTTTTCTTAGAAACTCCATAATTAAGAGATCTGACTCTCAAACTTGATGCTTGCGTTTGCTAAAACAGCAGTTACTTTTGTGATGAAAGGTAACGTTTAAAACAGTGTATGCTCCTGAATGCAGGGGCTGCTGCTGCGCTGTGACAGGACAGAACTGCCACTGCTGAGGGTGATTTGGGGGAAGCTTTTATGGCAAAACATTTTCAGCAGGTTAAAGAGAATCAATGCATGCAATGGGTTAACCAAAAAAAGGAAAGAAGCTGCTTTAGCTCTTGGCTGGAACAGGAGCATTGGCTATTAAAGAATGATCTGCACGTTCTTGACCAAGTTTCTGTTTATTTTATTCACTGGCAAAAAATAGACACAGAAACTGTAGAAAAATAATAGCCTAGTATCTTGTCCTGTTACCTTGCTTACTACGTGAAATAACTGCTGCTAGTGGAAGGATGTTGGCCAAAAAGCTGCCATCTGTTTGAATTTACCTGTTCTGTGGGACTCCCACAACAGGCACTTTTCTAACAGCATCTGGTTAATTTTCCCTTGCACGCTGCAGATAAAAGCGCCCATGGATACATAGAAGCCCATCCTTCGGTGAGTGTGGAAGTAACCTCTTACTGTCATAGCATTTAAGAACTGTGGAGCAAGCTGTGAGCTTTGCTTTTGTGGTGGAGTGCCAGCCTTGCCGGCTGAATGACAGGCAGTGCATTGTAGTGCTCTGCAGCAGCAGAGGAGGAATCACTGGCTGTTTCCTAACTTTCTGTTTAAGATCCCTTAAACAGATGCAAGTCTGGTTTTGCAGACAGAAGATTGCTTGATGTTCTTAGCCATGCTGGGATATGTAATTCACAACAATATGCACTACTGTCTAATTAGCCCATTTTAATTTAGTTTTAACAACTTAGAATCCATTTCTGTTAAGTTTTATGATTTATCCTTAGTACAGTTGAGTGTGTGGCTGAATATGTATAAGGTTATAATTGATATGGAACTCACTGGAACCATTGAAAGGAAGTTTTAACTACTCCCCCACTCTAATTAACTCTGCCTTACCATAGCAGTCCCAGAGATGTAGCCATGACATCCACATTAATATTGACCAGGTTTATTAATGTTAGTGCATTAAATAGCAAATGACTGAATGGGGATTGAGCCTTTATTTTCAAGTATGAAGCAGCTTAATTTTAGGTCTGTGATTGCACAACAGAGAGTATGTGTAATGAAAAGAAAACCATCTTTGAATATTCGCACACTTCATGATGCCACTTTCATTATCTTTAATAGAACACACTTTTTAAAGGAAGTTTGGGGTTCACCAGAGCATAGTAAACATTCCCAATAGCTTTTCCAGTGGGTATGGACCCATGGTAAATGCTGTGGTATTTTGTTCTAGCAGATACCGAGAGTGAGACAGGATGTCAGCTTTCAGATGTTACCAGCTCAGGTCTCTCCTGCAGGACGTCCCTTACTGGTATTTGTACTGGGCTAAATTGATGCCATTTAAGGAGAACACAAATGAGATGTGCATTTATAGAAGAGAGCCTTTGATTTGCTTCAGCTCTCCAAGTGGCCTGTTGTAGGCAGCTTTAAAGCACTTGATAAACACTGAACAAGGCACCCTTTCAGTCTTCGTTTCACCAGCACATTGTGACAATGTGATACAACCCCCTGCTCTGAGTAGCTGGTGGGGGGGAGATGCGCCTTGCTCCTGAGAGGGCTCCATTCCCCCTGGGTTATTGCTGTGGTCAGAAACAGGAAAACAGTAGAAAGATCAGTGTGTTAACTTAGGACTCCTCCTCTTAAGAGGAGGATGGGGCTGAAGGAGCTGCGAACAGTGAATTTCAGTCCATTGGAAACAGGCAATACCCATGGGTAAAGTAGCAAAGAAGCAAACAGCCTTTCTCTCTTTCTCTCCAAACCCAAATTCCCAGCAAGATGCTGAAGGAGGCTTTGCACTTTGAAGTGTGTTAATTAACCAGCCAGTAGACACCTGTTAGCTTAATTACCTGTTACCGTTGCTGCAGACACAATGCCAAAGCAATTAGCCAGTAACTGCATGGGATTTCTCATGACAGATTCAAGCATTATGTTCTGTGAACTTAGACTCTGAGCACGGGAATGATTTAGTTGTTCTTAGCAAAACATGAAAGCCACCAAGACAGATAAAGACAACAGCACAGTAATTTGTAACCTTTAAGTTGTATTGTGCTGTGTGTAACCTGGAACTGAGGCCCAAAGGACTACAGGCATGTCTAGGCTGGTTTCTGGTGTCTAAGCAGACTAAAGTTGCGTGCTTTATCAAACCTCCCAAGTGCAGAATGGTGACTGTCACTTGTGCTGCTCTCTGTCCACAGAGCACAAAAACAGCATCAGAACCCCCACTAGCTCCCTCTGTTTCTGAAGAAGAGGATGAAGATGACGATGAAGAGGAAGATGACAATGAACCTCCACCGGTTATCGCACCACGGCCTGAACATACAAAATCAGTAAGTCCAGCTTTGGTCAGCAGTGTATTTGGTGTAATTCAGAGCTGTGTGTTTCTGATCAGACAGCACTTGCCATTCGTGAATGAAGGTTGGGGGCTGGAGTCTTACGAGAGCCTAGTGCTTCACCTAAGCTGCTGACACCAGGAAAACCTGGTTTGAACCTTACCATGGAGTAATGAGTTCCCTGTGATAGGGACTGTGAATTCATCTTACTATCAGATCAGAGGTGGCATTGTCTCTTTTAATGCTACTGGTGTAGAAGTGAGCAACTTTGTCCGAAGTATCTGTGTAGGCTGTCTTGTCATCAGTGGAGAGAGTGGCCATCAGATGCAGTTCACAGCTTTTCAGGCTCCATGGCAGGAACTGTTGCCTGCAAGTACCTGTTCCTCCCCACAAGCTATGTAAGTAGTTAAATGAACAGCTCAGGCTACACCCTTCACTTTTACAAGACTGAAGGTTGGTGAGAAGAATCCTACACCGCTGTGCTTTGTAAAGAGAAGGTAGATCTCTGATTGCAAGTCCTAATGGCCACTCCCTAAAGCTTGCAATACTGATGAGAAGTCAGTTCTGCAGTTACCGTCAGAAAAGGGAAATGCTCCCTGCTTCTCTTCAGACACGTACCAACTGAAGAGTCATTTTGTTACTCATCAGAACACATGAGCATCACAAAAAAGGCTGTGGGGCCCTGGACACATCTATTTTTATATCCTTCCAACACAGTAAGTTCATTGTTTCAGTTATCTTTCAGAAAAATCAATGAAAATCGTAAATGAGACTGGCTCTGAACCTGAGTCAAACTGGCCTTTTGGTTTTTTCTGTTCAGTTTGAGAAGTGGACAGCAAAACCGAGCATTTTAAGAGCCCTGGATGTGGCAGAGGGCATCTTCCTAAGGGTTTGCATTTGAAATATGATCTCGGGGGCATCTCTGCAAGCACCTTTCTGACACAGAATAATTTCTTGTCACAGATCTACACGCGCTCTGTAATTGAACCTGCCGCTGCACCAGCACCAGCTAAAGAAGCCACCACTCCCCAGCCTGAAAACTCAAACACAAGCACTTTGTACAGAAACACAGACCGGCAGCGGAAAAAGTCCAAGATGACAGATGAGGAGATCCTAGAGAAACTGCGTATGTATCCTGTATCTGTTGCCTGATAAAGCACTGTGCTGTATGCGTGTCTCAGGATTGCATGCACCAAGTGTTCATCCTCAGTTTAGTGTCACAATTACTTACAGTGCCCTGTGCAAATTTAGAGGGAGTAAGAGAGCACTTCGGGTGTTCCTTCTGCCTCTGAGGGCAGCTAGCAGTGGGCTGGATTTGCCTGAGCTTCCTACTGTGCTAAAGCAGAGATTGTTTCTGGTTGAGCAGAGGGCTGTGACCTAGTGAACTCCTGTGTGCTAATGGCCAAGTGGAACAGGAAATTTGGGTGCCGAAGTTCTCTTCAGGCTCCTGAAGTGTAAAGAGAGTTTTCTTGGGGGCAAAATGCTTTGCAGAAATCTGTTGGGTTTATTTGTTTGTGCTGGGGGGTTTCTTGTACCAGTAGACACCCAGAACACCCAGCTGGTTCTTTAGCCTCAAGGAGCTCTCCTGCCCCAGATACTCTATTGGTGTCGGTTTTATGATTGTTTTTCCTACTTTTACTAGTATATCAGAGTTATAAGAATCCTGTGTTTCTGTCAGAACTCTTCTGAAGCTGATGCCATGGATAGAGAGGAAGAGGTGTTCTTAATGTACTCAAAAGAAAAACAACTTTGATAACAGCCCTTATTTTATTTCTTAGCTATGTGCTTATAAAGATGTATCAGAGATACATCCGTGTGGCGTGATCGGGTGAAACTGCACTGCAAGCATTTCTCAGGAGCCAGTCTCAAGCACATCCACTATGTATATTCCTCACATACATGGCACTTTGTCATAGCTAATTCCCACCCAGTTAATACTGTTAGAAGCCTAACTGTTGGTCCCAAACCCCTGTGCAGATCCTGCTCTAGGAAAACACATGAAGCCCTTTGTGATTCTGCAGTACAACCAATTTACTCTGCTGCTTGCACATAATAGCTGCCAGTGCTATGCTCCCAGATGATAAATTGTTGGGTTCGTAATGTAGCCCAGTTTACTCTGTGTCTACCATTAACTGTTAGGACAAAAAGTGGATTGATCCGTGCCTCCTTGTGTTTGATCTCAAAGCCAATAATGGTCTGTCCTTAATGGGGGCAGGTGTTCGTAAAGGGGTGCAGTCTGGCTGTGGCTTCTTCCTAGTGGCTGTCAATGCTTGTTCTTGTGCTACATGAACTGTTCTGTCATACCTGCCCCTGCCGCTGGTGGCTGCTGTGGCTGTAAAGGCTGAAGCCCTCCTTAGCTGTGAGATTTCAGCTGCTTGTGTAGAGTTTTTGCACCCTTAGCAGGTTGACAGGACTATAAAGAACTGAATCTCTCTGCTGTTAGGGAGTATCCAAGGGATAAGTTCAGTAGCTTTATTTGAGGGCACAATGAAATAAATCCCAGAGCAGATAAGTTACCTGCAGGTATGTCAGCTTATAAAGGGAGGAATTACAGCTTCTGCAGCTGAGGATAAATGTTTGAGGCAGGCTTCCACCATGAGATCTGCAGGTACCCTGCGTACATGAACGCAAGTGTGCCTGTCATTGCTCAAGCATCTGTGTCAGCCAGATTAGGACTGAGCCCTGGAGTTATTGTGGGTTATATCTTTGGAATGTTACATGCTTTCATGCTTTTTCTTTCTTACGAATTTGATACCAAGTGAGCAAGGTCTGAAGCTCTGCCTTGGGCAAATTGTGATGTGGGCAATGAAAATCTTTTTGTGCTTTCATGAAGCTCTCTGGAAACAGGGGTGGTGCTTTTTTGTTACAGTCCTGGGCTGATAAGCATGTGTGGTGGTTGGGGTTTTTCTGGTTTGGTTTGTTTTAACTCTTATGACTTCTCCACCTGCCTGCTTCCCCCACGATTGATTTTATACTTCAGGAAGATGTCCTCTGCCCTCTTTTATCTTCAGTTCCTTTCATAATTCTGTTCTGCTGGAAATAACTCTGGTTTTTTTAGAACCACTTTCATTACAAGTTTTACTGGGGAGCAAAGCCTGTAATACTGAGATAAGATCAAACAGAATTCTGCCTGTAATGAAATCATGAATATGTCCCACTGTAATTATAAAACAGAAGTGGCCCAATTCTGCTCCTTATCCACTTAATTTAGGACTTGATATAAAGGAAAGTGCTTGAAGACATCAAAATAGCTGATAATGTGTATCCTTGGCCAGAGTAGGGAGTGCTGCTCTGAACTGCAGCCATGTACCACTCACTTTGTTGATTTTAGTGCTGTGCATTGGGTTAAGCACAGGAAACCGGCCACAAACAACTCATGAAGCAACTACTCCAGCTTTGAGGAAAAACTCCAGAATTCTGACCTGCAAAATCAGTGGCAAATTTGGAAGATTCTGTTTCAGAATGCTTATTCTGCAGCCTTGTTCTTTATTCTTTACTAACACAAACTTCCTTGAACTTCTGGTTTCTGTTCGGATAGATACCCGCTCCATTAACTAGCTGAAAATAGCACCTAGGCTGATGCTGGCAGCACAGTGTTGTGTTCCTGTTATCCAGCCCAGCGCAGGATTACTGCTGTGTTTGTGTCAGTACTGCAGAGTCTCCTGGGGCTGTGCCACAGTGAGCACTCCTGGCGTTCCTGCAGTGCCAGGGCAGAGGAGTGAGTGCCATGCGGCAAAGGAAACCTCTTCTCCCACAGCTCCCGTTAGGGATCTTGCCAAGGCCAGCAATGTTCTTTTAGCAGGGAGTGTACCAGATGGTGCTGATGTCCTGTCTTTGTGCCATACTGGCAGGCAGTATTCCTGGCCAGGCATCCACTCAGATGCCCATTTGGATGCTAAAGGCCTCTGCTCCAGAGAAATGGCCTGGATGGGGGGCAGAGAGGTATTTGTTACTACTCATAGTGAATGGTGCATCACCTAGTTTTGCTTTCGATGCACAAGTAGACAAGTAAGTGTGTGTGATACAGGAATAGTGCCAGATCAGTCAAACAAAATATGCTGCGACACACTGAAAGTCTTTCCTCCTCAATTAATCTTAAGGTATGTCAGTGATGTACCTCCCAAGTTAAATCTTTAGAAGTCCCTCTCATTGAGCCATCACCTTAGGCTTCATCGTTTGTACTTGATCTAGGAAACCACCAGACCGGGAAAAACAATATTGGTTTTGTGATTATTCCCTCAGATTCGAGCTTATCAGATTTGGCCTCTCACATTTGATAAACACAGAGCAGCGAGTGCTTTAATTCCAGCTTTCAGGGGCACACGAGCTCCATGGGGCCGATGGAGCTGGAGCGTTGCACACCCGGTGCGGGACAGGCCGGCTCTGCCTTCTGCTGCTCCAGCGCAGAGCTGCCGGGAGGCGGCAGCACCCCGGCTGGCCTGGCCTGGCTTTGCATGAGCCACGGCACCTGCGCTCCTCACATTACAGCAGCTCCCCTGTGCAGCTGTGTGGGTAACGCTGGTGCCTCAAGAGTTCTTGGTGTCCGTCCCGGCTGCGTTTGCTTGGGGAGATCCGTGTGTGTGCGCTGCTGAGAGTGAGTTAGTGAGCGGAGTCAGGTTGAAGACAAGCAGTGTGGTTCTTAACATGGCACGGGCAAGTTCTTCAGAACCTGGTAATAAGTGGTGAGGGTCATAGTTCTTAAAGCCCCATAATTACTCATTATAACATAATCTGCTTTGAAAACACAAAGGCATTCTTACAGCAAACTGCTGAGAGGTTGAGAAGATCCCCTCCTAGAAACACTTTGCAGTATTCTTCCTGTTCTGAAAATGGCACCTGATGTTAAAACTTGATTCCAGAACACAAGGTGCATTTAATCTTCTGAACTATTAAACCTTCTCTTGAATCACACACAGTATTTATCCGTAAAAGCTTTGTTGTTCCAGCTCTTATTAATGTTTATAGTCAACAAACACTTGCATTGGTACCTGTTCTTTTCTGACAGCACTCTTGTGAATGTTTCTCCGTGTTCTTAGTCTCCTAAAGGACTAACTCTGCAAAGGACTGTAGGAAATCAGTCTTTGTGGAGTCCATCTGTGCATGGAGCTGCCTACAAAGAGTTCACAACCCCAGGCAGTGGAGCTGCAGTTCTGATCTGCTTGAAGTGGTGTCTTCATTTTAAGTGAGCATCTCCGTTTCTTTCAGGGAGCATTGTGAGTGTGGGAGATCCTAAGAAGAAATACACTCGATTCGAGAAAATTGGCCAAGGGTAAGTCCAGTCCCGGTTACTTACACAAAAACACGGGCTGGGTATTTTGCTGGTGTCGCATCAAGCATGAAATCAGGCAAGCTCCAAACATGGTCAGTGATCGACATTATATCCACATAGTTTATCCTAAAGAAGGAAGTCATCACAAAGGTAATGAAACAGGATGATCAGGAGGAGCCAGGCTGCTGCATGGCTAGGGTCAGCAGGGCTGGGCTGAGATGTAGTGCCTCAGATGGTGCTGATGTGCTTAGTGATGCGGGTGCCAGTTCCTGCCCACCCTTGCAATATATGTGTATAGTTATGTCAAAGGCACGAGTAGTGTTGGAACTGGGTAGTCTTTTAGTACCTGCTAATAAGAGCACTGCAAGGCAACAAGAGACATGGCTGCTTAGACTGCAGGCAGAGAGCAACTTGGTACGTAAGGAAAAGCAGCTTGTGCAGCATGTAGCACCTCATGGCCTCATAGAGCAGGTAAGTTAATGGACATTGTGATGGCTTTACAGTCACTGCAGCGAACAGCAGTCAGAAGGGCTGTGCTGAAGAACAGGTCAGCTTCAGTGCTGAGTTCCTGGTTTGTCATCAGTCTCCAGTTGAGGACTTAACACGGTGCTGATGCTGGAGGGAACTTGGTTAACTTGTGCTTGATAAAGAGGCTGTGTTTACTCAAGCAGTGTTAGCTCTTGCTAGAAAGACAAATGAGTATGAAGCCAGGAGCAGCCTGGGTTCAGGCTGGTTTTTTAACTTGTACAGCGCTGCATCACAGTGACACAGATCTAATTGTGGGCCCTGGTACTTGCCTAACTGCATTAAACCCAAGATGCTACAGAAGCTGTTAAAAGTTAGATACAGATTGGGAATTGCAGTTGCTTAGAAGTAAAAGTTGGTAACGCACAATTGCAGAGCCCTTGCAATTAATTCACAGCTTTACTTAAATTACTCACCTTTATCTCAGCTCCTCACAGATGGCCTGGAGCAGAGCAAACACATCCTAATTTAAATAGCTGTTTTAAAATGATCCCTGATAGGACTTTGCTGAGGAGCACAGCACAGTGTTAGTGAGTCTGAGTAAATGGTGTTGGCTTTTTATGAAAACAAATTGGATTAATCTCGACAATTAGTCATAGGAAAATGCATTTGCATTTATATTAAAAGAATACACAGCGTGCCCAATGAGAACACTGTTCTCAACACACACAGTCTCCGTGCCTGTTGGATTACAATGCTTCACAAGTATTTGAGCCTGCAGGTAAACAGGCCAGGGATCATGCCAGAATGAGCAAACTGATGTTGGCATTGTCAGTCAGTGGGACACTTGCTGGATGCATGTTCCAAGAATTCCCACCCTGGCCTCGCTGCCCGTGCAGATGTGGACTTAAATGACGGCAGTGTAAAACTATGGTTTAGCCCAGAAGGAAACCCCATTAGGGTTTAGAAGCCCCAGGTTGCTTTTGAACCCAAAAGGATTTCCTCTGATGGTGCCTTTTCCAGCCCTTCACATGATTACAGGGGAAGAACCTCTTTCAACAAGAGGCAGATGGCAAGCAAACCCCCATGCTGTCTAGTCTGCAGGTGAGCGCACCATTTGCTGTTGGTGGCTCTGCAACACAACTGGTGTCTGCCACAGAGCAAAACATCAGCACCGTGAAGAGCCCTTCACGAGTCTGGTAATGGAAGCAGCTGCTGATGGCTCTTGACACACAGAGAAGCTGTCTGGGGATCCTTTGTTTTGAGTAGGTTTCCATGTGTGTGTGAAACAGTATATCCCTTAACCTGCTGTAGCTGTGACCTCACAGGACAGCTGGAGAATTGTGTCCTTTGTGTAACCCACAGCCACAAAAAAAGGGGAAGAAAAACCCCAAACCAAAGCAAAACTGGAGAAAATGGAGAAAGAATAAACATACATCATTTCCCATGGTTTGTACACAGCCCACCTCCAGTTTTGAGCTATAATAATTTAGTTTGAGGTTTGCACGAGCCCTTTTTCTTCATGTTGGACATGGTTTTATCCTGGGTACACTGCATTGCAGAGGGCTGGTGCGCTGCTGGTTGAAGGAACAAAGGTGTTTTTATTTATAAACACTCCAGGCAGCAGAGATCTGGGCTTGTGTTCACCCACAGGGACTAAACTGCTTCTCCTTTCTTTGCTGCTGTTTTGTTTCTAGGGCATCAGGAACTGTTTATACAGCAATCGACATCGCCACAGGACAAGAGGTACGTGCCAGCAGCCCCAGCAGAGTTTGCAGATATTTGGGGCTTACCCCTCTGGTACAAACTGCGGATGGGGCTTTTGGGTGCCAGTACATCTGTACTGCAAAGGTATCAATACCTCTGAAGCACAGACTGGTGTCAGCCTGCAAAACACATCTTCTGCTAAGGCTGTTCCTCCTAAGCACGTACTGGTGTCAGTTGGCAAAATACATCATCTGCTGTCTTCAGCTTTTCCGTGGAAGCTCCTTAAAGGGAATGTGTTTCTGTGCCTCCGTAGCTGAACACTTCCTGTGGCCATCGACTTTCCAGCAGCCATTACACTGAGGTGTTGACTAGTGCCTGAAAAGGTGCCTGCGAATTCCTTGGGGGTGTCCTGCTCCCCCTGGAAGCAGTAAGAGCCTTGGTGCTCTCTGCTTGGGTGAAGCATCTCTCTTGATGCCTCACCCATAGCTTTTAAGGCCAATTGTAATAGAAGTATGTTTTACTTATATACTGTATTTTTACTACATACTACATTTACAGCATAATATCTGCCTTTGGACCTGGCCATAGATGGGTTAGCAGTACAAATGGTAAAATCTAAAGCTCTGTCGTAAAGCGAGGCTACAGGAAAGCAAATGGGGTGGCCAAGGGTTCTCCTGTTGCTGTGAGGAGTGAATAGGTTCATTACATGGCATAATTTCAGACAGACTTTGTCCTTATTCACAGCGAGAAAGACTGCAGGGAGGGAGTGGTATCTTTCAGAGAAGGATATGTAATTAAGGCAGTAGCTCTGTCTTAATTACTAAATATATTAATGCATCAGCTAGCTGATGGAGGCTGCCAGCGTTCAGTCCCAGTTTATCTTAATCCCAGGTTCAGGCAGCAATGCTATTTAGCATTTTTTCCATTATATGTTTTGCCTTCAAAATGTAATGTGAGACCTAATTAAGGAGAGCTCATGTTTAGCATGCAGTTTTGTGTTCTAGTCATACTGACGCTGGTTGACACACACACATGGACAAATGAGAAGATGTGTATCAAGAGCAGAGATCTCTCCTAAACCATACAGCTGTGTTTAGGTCCAGTGGCAGTGACAGCCCTTTACAGCCCATGAACTGGTCACAGGGAAGTGGGGGCCAGATGTACTTAATGTAGCCACAGGGCCACATCTCCCCATGAGGTGCGTGCTGGGCAGGAGGGGCTGGGAGCCCTGGGGAGGGTGTGTTTGCAGAGTCTTGGCTGGAGCTGAGCTGGGTGCCGGGGAGGGAAGTGGGGCTGAGCCCAGAGGGATAGGGTTGGCAGAGCTGGGCTCAGGAGGGAAGCCAGGAGGAAAAGCTCGGGTGGAGACTGTGGGAGATGGGACTGGGCAGAGGCAGGATGGCTGCAGTGGTTCAGAGCAAAATGGATCATATTGGCAATAAATTATGTCTTAGAGAATCCTATTGCTCTTTGGTGCTACAGCTTAAAATTTCTGATCTACCATTTCTGGCTGTCACCAATACATTTGGATCTTACTGGTAGTTTCTCATCTACCTGCAGTGCTGCACTTTGTAACTGAGTCTGCAAGGCACCTAAGAGCCCTGCTTATAACCCTGGGGTTATCCGTAAAATAGCATAGAATGGATTAAGGTTTTTTCGATCCAGAAAGTATTTGCAAGTCCAAACTGTGTTGAAGAATGTTATTTAGAATTGCAAAACCCAAATGGAACAAGTTGGGAAGTACTAGGGCTGGCTGTGGGGTAACCTTAGTGATCTTTTTAGTATGGCATTTTATACACGTGTGTGTGTTTTCTGTGTGCAGGCAAGTGTGGCAGCAGTAGCTGACATGATGATGAAAAATCATGGCATTGCAGAAGTATTACCTGCTGGGTTTAGGTATTTTCACGGTAGCAAAATAGCTTCCTGCTTGCAAAACATGCATGAATAACAATAGTGCTGATAAACTAAGGCTGTTTGAGAGCATAGGTCCAGAGAGTGGTGTTAGAGACTGGTGGTGAAGAGTTTAAAGACCCTTTTTGTAAGGCAAAATGTCAGTGGCCACATGTCCTGCACCACCTAGGCCACAGAGAAACAGGGTGTTGTAATGTAAGTTCCTAAGCTCTTACACCATGCAACAAGAAAGTTTGTCACAGCTCTGCTACGTCATTCCAAAGCCACTCTCTCCATGTGCATTCCGACCTCGTGCAACGGATTACTCAAGTTGATGGTTTTCAATGTCGTTTTAGGTGGCCATAAAGCAAATGAATCTCCAACAGCAGCCCAAAAAGGAACTAATTATTAATGAAATCCTTGTCATGAGGGAAAATAAGAACCCCAATATTGTTAACTATTTAGACAGGTAAGTAAATGGTATTAGACAGTGGCATTATCATGTGCATGTTCATTTCCATACTGCAAGGCAGACATGAAAAACCCCTTTTGGATGCTGGCAGCAAATTGATCTCTTTATTATTTATCTAATATTCAGTGTGTGGGAGGAGATTGCACTTTGTCTGCATTAATCTCTTCTGGCATCTGTAGTTTGAAGACTGTTCTCAGAAACCTGGATCAGCTAGATCCTAATAAAACACCAGCCTCTAGTTTCACTGCCTCCGAGTGGCTTTGTTGGGTGGCTTTGGTTTGCTGGGCTTTTTTAAAGTTGATAGTATTTTTATGATAAGTGCTGATAAATCACCTTAGAAAGGATTTTCCTTGGGCTGTTCCCACAATTTTCCATGGCTGTGGATGCCGGGAAGACTGGGTTCATGTTTCCAGAAACATGTAATTTGCCAGTTTTCAAACTGTTTTTCTTGTTTCTGAATGTATTTTATGTAAGGTTTTCCAGAGTGCTGACCAATTTCTGTCCTCAGTGGTACACACCCTCCTACCATGGACAACTTTGAGAGCTGTGCTGCCATGCTCCTGGAGTAAATCATGGAATTTATGTGTTAAGATGATGAACCAAATGATGTGATATGTCCTGGTGCAAGATTTATCTGTACCATTGCCAACCTGCATTTTTTCACTTGCTTGCCATCCAAGACATCTTATTTCTCACTTAATGTGCTTTCTGATTTAGACTGCACAGCTTCTAAGTACTGTATAGCCTAGCAGGAATGAGCTGGAAACACAGCTCAGCTGTAGTCTTTCGCATAAGGGAACTCGGCTTTGCACATTCATCTCAGTGCTGCTGTGCTCTTCTTCCAGCTACCTGGTGGGTGATGAGCTCTGGGTGGTTATGGAGTACTTGGCTGGCGGCTCTTTAACTGATGTGGTTACGGAGACATGCATGGATGAAGGACAGATAGCAGCTGTCTGTAGGGAGGTAAGGGATCCCACATGTGCTTCCATTTACTCGCAAAGGATGGTACTTCTAAACAGATGGTAAGAACATCAGTGATACCTTGTTCAGAGCTTTGTTTCTGTGTTGCTTTAGTAATATGGAGAAGAAAGAACAACTTAAGTGAACTGCCTGCCAGTATCACTGCACTTAACTGTTATTATACTCTTATATACTGTTACTGTACTATCTTTTTCAGTTCTATTCTCAACTTTGCCTCTTTAAAGATTTGCCTGGAGCACGTCTCTCCTGCATTCCTTGCCTGTAAAAGCAAACATGCTGGTGGCAGAGTTCTAAAACAACAGCAAAGAAAAATAGAGGCTCATTTATCACAGTCCTCAGCTTAAAAGGAAAGCATTCTTCCCAAAATGGTGTTTGATTCTGAAAAATTACTAACATGCTATTTCTAAATCTGCTGTAGAGCCTAACAATAAAACCTTTGTCCTGCAGCCTCCAACCTGAAAGTGATCCGCTTCATACTAAAGGAAGGGAATACTTCTCTTTGGCAAACAATAGTTTCTCATGTGGATGGAGATAGCACGTTCAGCAGCAGACATTCTCTCTGTGCTTGCAGGGGATAGTCTCTAGCAATAATTGACATTTCTTTTTCAAAAGCTAATATGCCTTCATTTAGAAAGTTATTACTCAGACATTTGATGCAGCACGGTGTTCCTCTTGACACACAATATTCTGCCATTAGTCACAATTCATCTAGAAATTCAATCTTTTGGAGCTATTTCCTTTCTTATGTGATGAACTCAGGTCATTAATTTTCACCCTCGTGTTTCTTTTCTGTCTGTCAGTGCCTGCAAGCGCTGGACTTCCTTCATTCAAACCAAGTGATTCACAGGGACATCAAAAGTGACAATATCCTTCTCGGAATGGACGGCTCTGTCAAATTGAGTAGGTATTCTTGGCCAGGCGCAGCACTCCCAGGATGGGGTGTGGGGCTGCTTCTGACTGACTGCCACTTACCCAAAAGTGGTGCCTGTGGTAGTGCATTAACCACTGCTGCAAGCTAAGAGCACAGTTCCAACATGCAGAGAGGTATAGAAGGGAAAAAGGTGTTAAGAGTAGTTCTGGTTTGTGCATGTCCTTTCTGGAGGAAGTTACAATCTACAGCCTCAAGTGAATCAAAGCCACTGCATGAAACTTGAGGGGCTTCTTTAAGTGCCCAGCTCAGTGTTTCCTTGGCTGCAGCACTGACTGTACAGGGCATGGCTCCTCCAGAGAGACTCAGCAGCGTGTTCTCAGGCATGTAGTGGGGGTTTCTTTTGCTTCAACGTGCCTTTAACAACACTTGTTTTTCCCATCAGCTGATTTTGGTTTCTGCGCTCAGATCACCCCTGAGCAGAGTAAACGGAGCACAATGGTCGGGACTCCTTACTGGATGGCACCAGAAGTGGTGACAAGAAAAGCATACGGCCCCAAAGTGGACATCTGGTCTCTTGGGATCATGGCAATAGAAATGGTGGAAGGAGAACCTCCGTACCTTAATGAAAATCCTCTCAGGGTAAGGTGCAAATAAAACCAGATACCGCTCTTTCTAATCTGTCCCATGCTTTGTATCCATGAGACAGAATTCCAGTCCCATCAGCTCCACCTTCTGAAAATGTCACTGGAACGTACCAGCGTATCCAGTAGTTGTGGTTACATCAGTGGCAGAACCTCAAAGGAGAAGGGACCTGCAGCCAGTTCAGAAATGTGCCATTTTTGCCTTCAGTGGTGCTTGAAGTTTCTCACATGGTTTTTGAACTCTGAGCTGCATCTTAATGCCAGGAATTGCTCAGCAGCAAGTTCCTCCAGTTGGGGAACCTTCCTGCAGAGCATTTCAGCTGTATCTATGGGCAGAGCAGACTCAGAACAGGGCTGATGGCTTACCTGAGCCTTCCCCCAAGTGTCACTGGTTATAGAAATGCCAGAATTATTCATTACCAAATACTTTTCTAAAAGTACATTTTAGCACAGATATTTGCAGTAAATGGATGCATGTTTAATGTTTTGAAGTTTTCCCTGTTTTCCTAATTCCTTAAAATGACTTTTCCTGCAAAGAGAGAACCCCATAGTTCATATGCTTCCATGGAAGACCCTTGTGAAAAAAATGCATTTGCCTTGTATAGGGCAGCAAATGCGCATGAGGAAAGTTAGCATTACTGGTCTGGATGCTGGAAATTCCCTGCTTCCCTAACCTCAGATGTTGGTGAGGGCTCCTGGAGAAGCCTCAGGTTAGAAAGATAACTGAATTTCTTACCTGACCAAATTCCTATTCAGCTCTTCCTGCCTTTAGCCAGATTGAGATGCTCTTTTTCTCCATACATGGCTTATCTCCTGCTGAGGTTAAGATCACTTTGAACACTTATTGCTGTAAGGCACCTTCAGGTGTCTGAGGAAAATAGCAGTACATTAAAATCGAGCGTTTCAAGTCAGTACCATCTGTATTAGCTTCTGGACTCTTCTGCAGAAGTTGCTGCCCCTGAGCTAGGAACAGTGAAGAGCTTGTGATGGACTGCCTGAAGTTCCCCAGTTGTCAGGTAGTTTTATTAAGGTAAATCAACCCCAACAGGGACAAGATCCATCCACTATTGTACATGGAACAGAGGCTTCAGTGAGAGGTCTCAGCTGTATCCAGACAGGAGAGCTGATAAGCAAGACCTGTTTTTATAGCTGAGTTGTTTAGCTGCTGGCACACAGTGGTGGTTGGTTTAATAGGCACATGTAGACCACATTCAGGGAATTCTGCAAAGCCTGGAAACAAAAGGATGCTCTTTCATTTTTATGAATGATTTTTTTAATAATGGAAGGCACGCAGGAGCTTCAGTTACTGACACTAAATACATGAATAAATTATAAGGGCAATAAAGGACCTTTAATCACAGAGTTAACAGCAGTCTTGATGCAAACACATTTGTGTTTCCGTGTGTAGAGCAGGTGTGTCCCATGTTCCTCAGTTTCTTTCCATCCTCACAGAAATGAGCTGTTTTCCAGCCATGAGTGTCCTGGATATTTCTGTGATGGTATTTGTTTTCTCTCACTGTGATTTCCTTCCATCAGGCATATGCCTGGGGCCTGAGGGACAAACACTGGTGTGATAAATATCCTTTGAAATGTAGGTTGGACCTCCCCAGTTCCAATTTAAAAAACCCAAACCCTCAGCATTTCTGTTTGCTTTTTCATTTATTAACCACAGCACATCAGTTTCCTTCAAAACTGGAGCACGTTTTCCAAATGCTGTGGATCTTCTACAATTTCAGGCTTCTAAATCATCTGTATATTGTTCTGCCATGTAGCTGGGTGGCCTGGATAACTTTAGGATATCGTTTTCACAGACTGCAGCTATAATTGTGTGCCAAATCCTTTCTTGTTGCTTGGTATGTTAAACAAATCAACGAGCTTATTGCCCTTTTGCAGCTACTGCAAACACACGTTTCCTTTGTACTGCTCTTGTTTTTCTTTGCTGGCTATATCATAGGAAACCAAAAGATACATAAGAAGGCACTTTAGCTTCTTGTAGACCTTTTTCTGTCATATTTAAAAGGTGTAGTTGCAAGCTAAAGATGACTCTTCCTTCTGATTCATGTGCTGTGGAGAAACAAGCCACTAAAAAGAGCTCCATTTGTTCTGGCACTCCTCGTTCACAGTCAGGTGAATGTGGCTGGAATAAAATCTCCAAGGTTGACATTGGTGCTCCTTTACCACAGGACAAGTAACAGCCCTCAAGCAGCACAATTTGAGTGTAGTGAGGACAACACTCCAGACGGGGTCAGCTGCAGATGGACAGCAGGACCAGAGTGATGTTGTGACATCAATGTTGTGGGAAAAGTGAAGAAACTGCCTTCTATTGGTTTTACTCCAGGATAGTTCATTTACCTTTTCAGGATTGGAAGCTTTCCTCTGTATTTAAGAGGATAACAAAGTCAATCTGGTCATGGTCTGTTTAAATGCCAGTCATACAGAGCTGTCATTATCATGCAGACATTTTTATGGAAGACTCCTGGCCCTATTTCTATTCTTACTGAAACATAGTCTGTGAGTTTAACTAGTTCAGAATTATTTGTCTTGTGGTTCTAAGTAACATGTGCAAAGCCAGAATGGACTGATCTCTCCAGCTTCTCAGCATGTTAGACCATGGTTACAAGTGAACCAGGCTGGATAATGCTCACCCTGTGTTTTGCAAAACTACATTGTAATTCCTGGGCAGTGGAGTATCAGGAGGACTTGCTCAAATTCATGAGCACTCATGGAAGTGAGCATCTGTGGCTTTGCTTGAGAAACTTAAGCTTAGATTAGGCTAGATGCTGTTAAGGAGAAGAAAGTCTGGAAATTCCAAGTGTTTGGATAGGCCTGTGTGCACATATGAGCAGCTGGATGCTTATGCACATTGTGGAAGGGAATTCACAGAGAACTCAGCAGATACTCCCAGTACTCAGGTAACATTTCATTTGGGGTTTTAAGTTGTTCCAGCTCTTCTGTCTGTGAAGATGACCCTGAAAACATTAAATATGTGTAGCAGATCTAATCTTACCTTTAAAAACCAGACCAAAGTAAAACCCCCAAACTACACAGCCAACCCAACCACCCCACCAAAACCCCAGCACCTTTCAAAACAGGGGTTTTGAGGCATAAACTGCCCTCAGTTCTTCTCACTGGAAGCTTGCCTGGAAGGTGAAGATTGTAGCTCAAAGGCAACATGGTCTGTTCTGCCTCCTGCCCGTTCTTCCTGAAATACTTAGTGAACGTATTTCCTTCATAGTCCACTTTCTCCATGCCACCAACCCTGAGCTTCCAATAACCAAACTGTCAACACCTCTCATTTCCTCCCTGACAGTTTCTGGAATAGGGACGTCATTAATGTGCTTACTTGAGTATCCAAATTAGCACAGGGCTGCCATAGGAATGGAATTGCTCATTTCTCTGCTTGGACCAGTAAGTTCTCTTTTACCACATAAGCTGACCTGGTATTTGGAGACTGCGGAAAGGCATAGTTGCAGGTGGCCCCTGTCTGCCCAGTTACACGTTTTCTTCATATTTGTGGATGCAACATATGTATGTGTATGTGTTGAAAATGAGGTTCCAAATGTTTCTGTTTCTTTACCCAAGGAACAAGCTGATGGATATACTTTTTTCTGTTCATCCAGTTACCATTTTTATGAAGAACAGAGCAAGAAAACTTGGCTAGCTTTTGTTCCATGGAAGCTGTACTGCAGGGACCAGTGAGCACTGCAGAGACACATTTTTATGTAATAATCCTTTGAAATTACATAGTTGGACCAAATTCACTCTTTAAAATAGCCTGTGAAGCTAGTGTCAGTACTTAGAGGAGCAAAATGTGCTTTTGCTGATGTAGTTCATACTAACTAGGTCAGGCAATGAAATCAGCTGTCAAGGCAGGATTGTTCTGATGTTGGAGTAGCTGTGGCTGCATCAGGGTTTTTTTGTTGGTATAGAAAAATCCTCTCACCTTCTGCCAGGGAAGAAGCTGCCACTGCAGACTGGACTTTAAAGTGGGGTCTATGTGAGGAGTTATGGATGTGAAAGACACAGGAGGAGTCTGGTGTTTCCGTCTTCCCTAGGCGCTGTATCTGATAGCTACCAACGGGACACCAGAGCTGCAGAACCCCGAGCGACTCTCCGCTGTATTCCGAGACTTTCTGAACTGCTGCCTGGAGATGGACGTGGACAGGAGAGGGTCTGCCAAGGAGCTGCTGCAGGTACAGTGCGAGTGGCTGGGAGTGACACAGCTCTACTGTGGGATGGCTTTTTGGAAGCTGAACTCGGAGGCACAGACTCATAGAATAGTTAGGGTTGGAAAGGATCATCCAGTTCCAACCCCCCTGCCAACCTCACACTAAACCATGTCACCCAAGGCTCTGTCCAACCCGGCCTTGAACACTGCCCCGGATGGAGCATTCACAACTTCCTTGGGCAGCCAGTTCCAGTGCCTCACCACCCTCACAGTAAAGAACTTCTTCCTTATATCCAGTCTAAACTTCCCCTGTTTAAGTTTTAACCCGTTACCCCTTGTCCTATCACTACAGTCCTGCTGTGCAGGTGCCAGCCAGCACAGGAAGGGCAGTAGGCACTGGTAGGCCTGGTAGGCAGTACTCAACCCAGAGCTGAGCCCATCAGTGCTGTCACTTGCCTGCCTGCTCTTGGTGCTAGAAAGCTGTAGTGGCCTTCAGAACAACTCACAGGTCTACATTCTATTGGGATAGAAGTTTCTGGGAGGTTCCATAGTTCCCTGAGGAATGGCTTATGCCCCTCATCTTTTTTGACAACTGAAATAGTCCATGTCTTTGGAAAACAGGAATCTAAGTAAGTACTTCAGGTTTCCTGAAAGGAACAAGGCCCTGGGACAGCAAACAGCATTCCCACAGTGCTGCCAGGGTAAACACCCCAGCAAGCTGAGGCCACCTTGATAAATGGATTAGGAGGATTATAGACCATGCTTGCCTGTGATAGCAGAGTCCTGAACACGAGGATGCAGGTGCAGATGGTCCCTGCAGTCCTATTTCTGCAAACTCCTGGTAACCAGAGGACAAACTGCTTGAGCCTGTGAGTAACTGTGTTGGGAAAGTAACAGTTCTTTTTTTTCCTTTGGGCAGCATCCATTTTTAAAGTTAGCCAAGCCTCTCTCCAGCCTGACTCCTCTGATCATTGCAGCAAAGGAAGCGATTAAGAACAGCAGCCGCTAGCGCTCCAGGCCGGTCTCCCATGCCAGCTCAGAGCAGGACTGAGAACAGAGACTCTGTGAAACCTCAGCTCTTGTGCTGCGGGACAGGATGGATGCACACACCAACGGTCACAGTCACGGAGGTAGGAGGGAGAACAACCCAGTCCCTCGAGGAGTAAAACTTATCATTTGTCTTCTTCCTGCTTTCTGGCTCCTTAATTTATTTTTAAGATGAAACAGGGCTTAAGACAGAGAGGTGATGACCGAAAATGCTTTGCTGCCTCCACCATTCCCAAGGTAAAGCAAGTTCAGTTGGAAGATTCCCTTCCTTCTCACCCTGTGAATAAGCTGTACATTCTCTTTTAAATTGTCAGTTGTTTCTTAAAGACAGAAAGTCCCTTTTATGGGGTTTTTTTGGTACGGTTGGAATTGGAGAAGGTTCTCCTTCATTCATAAACTCCAGACTGCACTGCCTTTTGAATATGGCCCCCTCGCTGGTATTTGCCCAGTCATGGTACTTGCATTGTATTTCCAACCAAAAACCCATCAAGAGTGGGGCAGACAAAACATCCTGTTGAGATACAGGTTTTCAACTGTGAATATGTAGTGTTTCGGTTCTTGGCAATTTGGTTTGTATAACTAATTGTAATCTGTTTGCCTGGATGCAAGTCTTACTGAAGTGAAAAAGCAGAAAGGTTTCTGAGCAGACTGTGCTCAGATAGGGCTTGTCTGATGTAAAGCTGTAGGAGAAGTGTGAGAGCAGGCCCGGCCCTGCCTAGTGCTGAGCCCCAGCAGACCCCTTGCAGAGCACAGAACAGCCTTGGCACCCGCAGACCCAGGCCAGAGGAAGGTTCTTGTAGCAGCAGGTGACCACAGGCTGGGGCTGGGTTCATCCCTCTTCCTGGGACCCGTGTCAGAGCCAAACTGGCAGCAGGCTGCTCCCAAGGTGAATCCTGGCCATGCTGTGGAATGCACAGGCTGGAGGGATTAGCTGTCTTGAGTGTGTGCAGGAATAGAGAAGGGTAGAACAGAGCTGAGTGGTGGTGTCACATCAGGATGCCTGCTTTCCCAGTCTCCTGGAGCTCCTGAGAAAGGTTCATAGTGTCTCTGGGCAGAAGGGGAGGAGGGTGTCAGGCTCATGTGCAGGTGAGTGTCCTTCAGGCACACGAGTTCTGATATGGAAACTCAGGCTGACAGTGTGTGAATGAGTGAGTGAGTAGCAGCTCGGATCCCCATGGCCAGAGCCGCAGACAGCTCTGGAGGGAAGTGTGTTAAAACTAGGGGCTCTAAGCAAGAGCCAGCATGTGAGCTGCAGAGTGCTTTACAGGCAGAGAGGCACTGGCTGCAGCTCTGAGTTGCTGGGAGAGAGGGAATCCTGAATGTGAGGATGGTGCTTGACTAGTCCACTGGTTCGTAAGCAGAGTTCGCATACTCTTTGGAGCAGAATAGTTGCAGTATGCAATCTGTGGTTTATTTATTTATTTCTGAAAGAAAGGTGCAATGTGGCTTCACTCAGAAAAAGCCATGTAGAATTCCATATAGAATTCCATTCAGCTCCTGCATGCACACCCGGAAGCCAGCACGGGGTGGATCTTACAGCACTCTCACTTGTGTCCAGCACTCCTGTACGTACGTGTGTGTTTATTCCCCATCTCTGCACACAACTGAAGCCCAGTATTTTTATAGCTGTTCGTGCTGAGTTTGAGACCAGTCGCTGCATGTCAGCAGGTCTTTCAGTCAGTCCTGTCACCGAAAATGAAGCACATTCCAGTCACCACAAGAAGGGAAGTAAGTACCTATCTGTCTCCTGTCCTCTAGTTGTAGGAACATCCCCATCCCCTGGTGTCTATATGGCAGTTAGTTCCAGTATATATGGTCAGTGGTGTGGCTACAGAGTATTCCTCACACTGAGCATGTAAATACCCATCTGTCCTAGTCCAGGCCTGAGCAATGAGCCAGGGCATGCTCTGTAACCTATGCTTACAGATGTGTTCCCTTGCCTGACACCCAGGACATGCACATGAACACCAGCTTCACCTTGCTAGGTGTTAGGGAGTTAGCGGTCTGCACACCTTCCCAGTGAACTCTTGTTCATTCATGTGCATATGTGCAGCAACTTAATGGTGGGTGATGGGGAAGCTGATGAAGACCCATAATGTAAGTGTTCAGCTTTTCTTCTCCCCCTCTCCTGACCAGGTAAATATCTTTAATTTTAGCTCCAGGTTTCAGGAAGCAGGCAAGGGGCCACCTTTCTGTTGTCCCACCCAAGGCTGCTTTGAGTGGGATGTGCAGTTCAAAGATTCTTCAAACTTTATCCGTCCTTGAGCTGACAGGGTAGTTTCTTTTTGTGGCTGAAACTTGCAAGATCTTGCTTACACATCCTCTCTTTGGATGAGTTTAGAGCTGATTGCTGTAATCCTCAGCATGCATTGAGTGTGTAAACCATCAGTCGCCTGAGCCTACCCATGATAGTGACCTTGGCAGTGTTGGGTTAATGGTTGGACTTGACGAACTTGAAGGTCCTTTCCAAACTACATGATTCTGTGATCCCAGCTGCTGGATTCATCTAGTTCCAATATTAGCAACACTGGTTTTATCAGAAAGTTTACTCTCAACCAGGTCTTGCAGTCTAATGCTACTTTAGCTACTAGTGCTCAGCTGCTAATGCTAAATGAGACTAAGAAGAATGCAGTTAACCACATTTTGCTGTAACATTGAGGGAAGAAGTGAATGAACTGAGACCATGAGTATTATCTGTATGTCACCTCCTTTCTCGTCTTCACTCCTTTCAGGGCTTGAAACAGAGAAGAGTTTCCCTGCAGAGAGAAACTAAGCAGTGTGTTACCTTTCACAGTCTTGGTCTTTCCAGTCTGTGCTTGACTGATTCTGTCACTCTTCCTGTGCTCTCTAGTCTTCCTCTGCTTGGTGGCTGCTAATCAACTCTGCAACTGGCTTAGAGGACTTGAGATCCTCTTTTCTCTGCCCTTAGAACTCCTGCTTACAACAGCCTTTTCAGTCTGTAAGCTTGGTCTGGAGAGGGAGTTGCCAATCCCCTTCACTTAGTGCATCATCTCCAAGAACTTGGGGCCTGACATCTGAAGGCCATCAAGGGCTCCCAGGTGCCTCAAGCTGACATGATGCTATTGCAGATGTCAGGGAATAGTGGTAGGTGATTTGTTTTAAAGTCTGGTCCTTTGCTGCTGCACAGTATGTGCATCATGGGGTGTGTGTCAGCCCAGCCACAGACCTGGGGATTAGATACAGACACTGCTGTTACTCCTAGTGAGGTCAGTGAGAGTTTGGCTGTTGGCTTCAATGATGGCAGAACTGGTCACCTTCTGAGCTGGTGCTGGTATTGCCCAGAGCACAGGGGCTGGAGACATCCTGGGTGGGAGGGAGCTGCCTGTTGTTGTTGTTGTTCTCCATCATGCAAAATGTCCAGGTCAGAAGGACAGCAAACAGGAAGCATGCACATCTCTTACATCCATGTCCCAGCAGCCCTTTGCGCTCCAGGTCTGTAAAGGCAATTGCATTTGTCTAGCTGTTTCTATTTGTGTCAAGCAATGCTGCTAAATCAGTCTGTAGCACAGCAACGGGGAGAAGAGCCTCTGAGCTCTTCAGGGGCCACTCTCATGAGCCACCTTGGCAGGTATGCAAGTGGAAAGCTGCTGCTGTAGCTGGGAACGAGTAGCAAAGGGCTGCGCACACCGTGGCCCCACTGATGAGAACAGCTCCTTGGGCAGAGCCCAAAGCCCATGTGGGAATTACTGGCAGCTTTTGTGGCACAGGAGTGTGGTGTCTGCCCTGAGGATGCTGTGAGTACAGGCACACAGGTCAGGAAGATCTGCAACAGAATTCCACAACTCTTGACTGGGTCAGGATGTAACCGATGTAAAACTCCAGTTTAGTCCAAAGCAACCAGTTTACACCTACGCTGGTGTCTGCTAGATTACTCTTTTTCTTCAGGGTATCCAAACAAAAGTAAAGAGAGGAGGAGCCTACATTGTCATCGTTATCAGAAATGTATCTATCTCATTTTGCCGTACATTCCTTTTTTAGGACGTGTTATCTGTTTAAAAAAACAAGAAAAAAACAGAAAAAAAAGAAAAAGCTAAAAACAAAAAACAAATGTGTAGTGAAAAATCTGTAACTTTGGATCAAGAGGTAACGGATCTTTTTAAAAGGAGAACTAAGTTATTTACTTTGTAAATGTGCTGATGGCATGGATCCATCTTACTGACCTCAGCATCCTTTTTTTTAAGATTTTGGGTTTTGTTTCCAATATTAAGTTATTTTAAATTGTGGTTGAAGCAATAGAAAATTGAAATATGGATTGTGCATGACTGTGTCTTGAGTGTAAAAATATTGCAGTTTGAAACTTGGACCTAAAGTATTGCAAATAAAAGTTATAAATACCAGTGATTGCGTGGGTGCAGCTTTTCCTGTAGTTCCGGCTGGATGAAGGTCCACAAGCCTCCATCACCTGGTGGTGCAACTACGTGAGCTTTAAGGTCCCGTCCACCCCAAACCATCCTGTGATACTTCCAACGAGTGTACACATGTCGCTGGATGATGTAGACCACAGTCTAGCTCTATACATCTACATATGATATTCACATACAGGGATATAAAAGATCTATATGTACATATGCACATATATATAAATATACAGTGATACATAAAATTACACATACCTTTATATAACTGAGTAAAAGTCTCATGCATATATACTGTTTTATAAATGAACATGTATACAGACATATATATGAGCCAGCCTTATACACTCTCCCTGGTGACCTATTTCTATATATATTTTATATATATACACACACACAAATACAGTGGGACTGTTAGAGCTATGTAACATATTCTTGCTATAGTATGTACCATCATTTATGTATTATATAGCTATGTATTTCTATATGCATATATACATGCATGTATAGATATACATAGATCCATTAGTATAAGCACCTACTTCTGTACTGATAAAGACACAATATACTACGTAGATTGGTTTATAATTACTTGATCTCTGTGTATAAATAGGGTGGTTTTATATATAGAATATATATATACACAGAGACCCTTATAGAACTATATAATTCTCTTTAGGGACATATACGTATATATGTGTATATACATATCATACATTAAAATATAACTACATAACACTAAATATTACACATCTATAAATACAGCTATAAAATACATATATAATATAGATTGAGAAAGTGAGGGAACATATGGGGAGATGTATACAACTGTTTGAAATAATTATATGCAATAATTACAATATCCTACATAATTACTGTATTTCTAGACAGCAAGTTCATAGTGCTATAGCCATCTATGTGCTCTATACTGTATGTAGGAGGAGGAGAGGGGAAGGTTTGCAGGCACATGAGCATGAGCACACATGCTCTGAACTTAAGTACATCACCAGAGTGTGTATTCTATGGTTATGGACAGGTTTCTGTCTGTAGATGCAAGTACACATGGGGTGGGGATAGGAGACAGAAACACTGCTCTATCCATGGAACATCAGCCATCTGTATCAAAGTATACATATGACTACATATACATGCCCACTAATGCAAGAGCCATAAAACTATAGTTAACACACAGGCTCTCCATGGCTATATATATGTATGTATACATGTATGTGTATATGTATTTTTACTGTTTACATAGTTTATTGGGAGCACACATGCAACCCACCCATATAACTCTCTTGTGCTGTAGCCCCTTATGCAGAATGGTCCCTCCTTAGCTAGCTATGTACTATTTTTATATATACACACAGAGGCCCTTCTATAATCTTACACACACTGTATATATATATATATATATATATATAGTAATGTGACTAATACAATGTATGGTATCTTCTATAAGCTATATACTATTTATATTTTATACATGTGTGAACCAGTCATATTTCTAGCCATATAAATACATAAAAGACACTTAAAATACTAAAAATACATACTAAAAAATAATACGTTAAAATGTTTTATATGTGCACATACCTTATATATGGTGGGAGAAAGAGACACCCTTCTACAGCTGTAACACTCCCCATTTTATATATAGCCAGGTTTAGGTATGCATATGAAAATATTTTCGTATATGTGTATGTATTCCCAGACATAAAAATCCATAATGCTCCTTATTTTTATATATACAGAAACACTTATAGAATGATCTTTATCCATCTGCCATGTTTTACTACACCTTTATGTGTAGCTAGTGCTGCGTGTACATGTATGTTACTGGTTTATATATATATATATATATATATATGAAAGAGCATGTAAGCAACTCCTGAAACTATGTAACAAGTCTTTAATTATCCGTGCATGTTATGTTACAGAAGACAGCCATACAAAAGAGACAGACCCCTATATAGCTCTAATGTGGTCCTGGCCATATGCACCCATGGGTGATGGTGATGTGGCGGTGCTGCTCCCCATTGCCTCTGAGTTCTTGTGGGCATTGGGGACATCGCAGAAGACTGGAGGGAGGCAGAAGTCACCCTCTCGAGCAGGAGGAGCCAGGAAGCTACAGGCACACTGCTCTGCCCTCGGTGCCTGGGGAGGTGATGGAACCAGGCCCTCGGGGGGCTACAAGGCAAATAAAGCACCTGGCTGAGAAAAGCCACCATGATTCATTCACCCAGGGCGAGTAAGGCATGACAAACCTCATCTTCTGCAACAGAGTAACCTGCTTGGTTGAAGTGCGGCTAGCCATGGGGCTTGTCCACCTTGATTTCCCCAAAGCTTTACATACGGTCTCCCACACCTCCTCCTAAAGAAGCGGATGTGGTACGGTGAGGACCAGGGGGGTGCGAATATGTATCTGTGTATGTAGGCATGTAGCAGGAGAAAACCAAGCATCACTCACGCCTCCCTCTGTGGTGTAGACACACACGGCGGGGAGGAGGAGGGTGTCACACCGCTACCGCCATGTTGGTACCACAGACCCCCCAAGGGCCACCACCACCCACCACCCTCCCGCTGCCACACGGGCAAGATGGCGGCTGCTCCCCTCAGCCAGGGCCGCCGGCGGAGCCGGGAGCGGGCCGCGGGCGCCCCCCAGTGGCGGTCTAGGGCCTCCGGAGGGATGGAGCAACCGCGTCCAAAACCTGGGAACGGGAAACGCCTTGGTGGCCCCGGCCGGGCAGGAGTACGGGAGAGGCGGCTGCTGTGGCTCTTAGCGCAGCCCCTGCCCCTCCTCGGGGTCGAGAAGCCCCTGAGCCTTCACACCTCACCTCACCTCGAGCGAGCAGCGCTGGGCTGGCAGGACCGGGAGCCGCTGCCTGTCCCCCTAGGCAGTGGGACACTCAGATGGCAGCTGGGAGCCACGGCTCCGGTTGCTCACCATCCTCTGCGGCCTGGCCAGGGAGGTGATGCTGCGGATCCTGCCTCTATCCACCCTAGAGCGAGAATTCCAAACAGTGAGCAGTTAGCGGAGACAAACACCAAACCATGGGTGGAGAGGAGCAATTCCGGCCCCGACTCCGAGTCACTGCTTCCAGAGGGGACTGGTCTGGTGTGCTGGAGAATACACGTAACAGAGAGCCGAGGGAGCTTCACAGGGCGCATCCTGGGGAAGGGAACGGGAACACAGCCGTGAGAATAACAACTGGGCTTCACTCAAAGAAACGGCACTTTAAAGTGACCCGTGTCAATAGTGCTGTGCTGGGGGCAAGGGCTGGGCAGTGGGTCCCGATTACACCAGGAAATCCAGCAGCACTCCTGAGACACTGCTGCTGTGCAGCACCGCCAGGACAGGGCCCCAGTCCTGCGGCCTGGGCTTCCTCAGCCTGAGGGACAGCAAGGGAGGCCACAGAGCAATGGAGGCTGCCATGGATGCAAACCCACCTGGCACAAGTGGGGACCAGCTGTGAACTCAAAGGCAGGAAGGGGGAAAAGCTGTTCAGTGACCATCTGAGACACATTCTGCCTCTCAAGCAAGCTGAAAACTGGCACTTAGGGTCATCCCAGAACCATTTCAAGTGTTTCAGGTCAGAGATCACTGAACATGGTTGGGTTTTTTTGGTTAACCTTTTATTTAGGTCACTTCATATTGAAAAGTAAACAGAGGTTGTAATGAAACATCTCCCAACTACTTCCCTCTGTTTTAACTTTTGGGGGGCCATAACTCTCTGCTGAAGGTGGCCCAAAACACACTCTCCCACAAAAACAACCCCTTGGTTTTCCCTCAGGTTCACATTAATTATTAAGCAATAGTGCCCAGCTCTGGTAACACTTGATACTGAATTCCTGTGTCTGTCTGAAAGGCAATCTTACCTCATCTCTTACCTCAAACGGACCACATTTACCTTCCACATAAGCCAAACACTCACTGCTGTTGCTGGCTTTGCTTTCAGTGCATGGCAAGATGTCCAACACAACAAAGAGCCTGCACCATCCCCTGCCTCAGGCAGCACTGCAAGCCCCTTTCAACCTGCTCCTGCCTGGGATTCAGCTGGGATTCAGCCTGGGAAGCCAGAAGCCTCTGTGCATCAGGACAGCAGTCGTGTTCCACATTGGATCAGTTCCTGCTGATGCGCAAATCCTGCCTGCTCCAACTACCTACAGAAACAAATAAATGCAGAGGTACAGCCCTTCTGCTCGGCCTCAGCCTGCCTGAACCTCCAACAGCTGCCAGCCCCCCACACTGAGATACCCTCAGGGCAATGCTGAGAGAGCAGCAGAGCTCCATTTCCAGCCTGGCCAGCACTGGTGTTCAAGGGACCCCTGTCCCTGCACCACAGGGACAAACTGTGGGTATGTCTTCAGTTGACATAATTATCAAGGCCTAAAAATCATCACCTTTATACACCTCACACACAACAGTCCCTAAACAAAAATCCATCTGAAATGGGGGTTATACAACATGATCTATTCTGCTCTGCCTCAGCATTCTCTCCTGCACACCTTGTTGCCCTACAAACTGCAGTGTGGGGCTTTAACCATACCTGGAATAGCAGCACAGTGCCCTGCACCCAGTGGTAAAGGTGTGCCAGTGGGATGCAGTCACCCGCTGTGCCACACTGATGAGAAGTGGCTACCATGACATAAAACAGTGTGTGAGGAGAAGCAAACCAAACCTTGTGCAGGGCTGGCACAGCCCGTACCGAGGTGCAGCTCCCTGTGTGGCTTGCCTGAGCTCTGGTCTGTGTGAGAAAGTTCGGGGGGGGTTAAGAAATTGCAGCTTACAAACATATCTGCGAGTGAGGACTCTGAAGCTGTGACTTTACAAAGAAGAATTACACTTGCCTGCGGGGCTGCCAACCAAATGTAGTTCACATCTGACAAATGCTGTGTGTGCCAAACAGCTTGAGCCCAAGCTATTTAAAAAGAGCCGGATTTAGTTACTTGGTACATGCAAGTAAGCTGATGACAGTATAGTAGTGTTCATAGCCTCACACTCCATCTCCAACATGTCAAAGAAAGCATGGAAATGCAGGAAATGCTACAGCAAAGAGCCTTTTGGAGCCCCTAAGGAGACTTCAAAACCTTTGGTGAAACCATTAACCCTGCTGAGGGTCATTTTATAAGTCATAAGAATTGCACAGAATGGCTGAAGTGGTTATGAGATACACAGAAATCCACATTTCCTGGCTGTCTGCAAGGCAGAGTAGTCATCCTTTAGCTTCACTTTCAAGACCAGAATTTGCAATCACATAAAATCCACTTCCAAGAGGTCTAACACAGTGAGCCTGCGAGATCACTGCAGAGCAGCCAACACAGAAATACCTGCTGTGAGGAATCCCTGCCAGATGCAAAGTTGAAAGAAAGCCTGTACCAGAACCCTGCTTTGAAGGAAATGGTACCTGTCCTCCATTACACCCAGGTTAAACTTCATCAAAGACCTCAGCTCTGTCAGCAATAAATGGATGCAAAATTTCAAGAGTAATACCTGGTACCTACCAGGGCACAGCATCTTTACAAACCCACCCTCATCAGGAGCTAATTTTACCCTCTCTCAACCCATCACATCTAGTGAGACAAAAGGAATCTTACTCCATTTTTAGCATCACGTGGATTAAACAAAGCCTCTTTAACAAGGAGGCTCCCATTACTGAATGTGTCCTCTGAGCAAAACTACAGCTGAACTGTGAGGTGCCCTTCTCAACTTGTGAGTCATCAGCTTGAGGTGGACAATAAAAGAAAGTAAAAATCAATCTGAAAGCCTCTATGCAGGCAAAGCTCTTATGTGCTGTGGTGTTCAAATAGGCATTGCAAAACCTGCGCTTGTATTTGAATGTTGCCCTCTCATGCCTGGTCTTAGTGCTGTGACCTATGGCTGAACCCATTCCATAATGATGTGTTCACCAGGGAACAGAATCATCTGATCCATAGCAATAACAGAAATTTTATATCCCTGTACAGGGGAAAAAAAATCCAATCAAAGCTTAAAAATTCCCTTCCCAAATACAGCCTGGCAGTGAACAGGGACTGAGCGATGCCAATCCACCTTGTCCTTGCCACCCCACCAACCTGTCATGGTCATGCTACATGACCATGGAGATGCAGCCATTCCTGCCTTCCTCCAGTCCCACTGCTGAGAACAGATGACAGTGTGCTGGGAATGTGTGAGAACGGTCACATGTGCTTCCAGCTTATGTGCCAAGAGTTCCTGAAAGATGCTGCTGGGGAAGACGGTCACATCTTAATGAGCTAACGTTTACTTTGGCCCCTCTTCTACTGTATTTGCTGTATCATGAACATATATATGTATAAAAATGTATTTTTCCCTCTTTAAAAGCCCCTCAACCCCATTACCCATGATAATGTGGAGAGTTAGAGGGTTTCTTTCCTTTTTAAAGCGATTATGATTATGTGCAACCTTTGCTCCCGAGTCATTCACACAGAAAGCACAGACAAGCCCCCCTGCTGCGAAGTGACAGCTCGCTCTGGCTCTGCAGGGCTTTGGTATTCATAGTTCCACAAGGTCATCGCTGGAAAAAACCTTGATGGTGATGCGACCTGGCACATCGGCTGCTGCCCGCCTGCCTCTCCCTCGGAGCTGCAGCGTCTGCTCTTCTCTGGGGTCACTGGGTGAAGCTGCCAGCACCGCCTGCCCAAGGAACTGGTCACACAAGATGTTGCTGTTCCAGACCTAGAGACAAGGGACCAGAAATAAACCCTGCTGAAGCAGTGCTTCTCTTGCATTCCACCTGAATGGGTTGTGCTGGAGGAGGGTCACAACCATTCACCCCTTGAAAAAGCAGTGAGGAGGGGGAGGACATCTAAATTTAGCCAAATGTCTAGAGAGTGTGTGGGAGAGTCTGGATTTGCATGCTCATTTACATACACTATGCAAATATGGAGCTACATTCAGCTTTATGCTTTCTAGGTCACAGTCTGCCTGGAAGAGGAATAAAAATGACCTTGTGAGGCTTCTCTCACCTGGACAATGATAGGGCTGTCGATGTTCTTCCTGTAGAAAATCGTCTGTGTGTTGAAGACGGCACTGGTGGTATTATGTTGCACAGGGGAACGCACCTTCTGGTTCTCACACTTGATAAGCACATAGGGATCTGCTCCTAAAACACAACCAGCAGCACAGCAATTGGGACACAGAATGGGAGCTGAGACCTGCCCAGAAACCCAACAGAAACAATCCCCTCCTGTGCCTGACAGCACCACTGCTACTGAGCACAGGAATAGGGCACCAGAGCAGATCACATCTGCTGGTGAAATACCTCTTTCTTGTAACAATAGGATGCTCAGAGCTGGAAACCAAGCACCATTTGCTGTGAAACCAGCTCACTTCCAGACTGAGACTGCAATCTTGCCACATTCCCTTGCTGTGCATCCTCCTGGCTCGTCTACAGAAAGTCTTCAAAGTGACACTCTAAGCTCCCTGGCTGCTCTAAATGCGCAAGCTAAAACGCATCCATGCATATGCAAATGTGGTGTGTAGTTCTGAGTGCCTGGGCCCAAACGGGGGGTAAAAAATGTTCATCATCAATTCCTATGGAGGGCAAGAACAGGAATTGCACAGAATTCACTAGATCACTGAATGCCCCCACCTTTAGACTGCCTAACTTGAAAATGCTGTCTGCTCATTCTGACAGGAGTACTAGTGTTAGGAGGCAGTTTTTAAGAAGCAGCTTCTCTCCCAGAAAGTGAAACACTGCCAAAATGCAAAAACATTCTGTGATAGTGCACTGGTTTCAACAATGCTTTCTGTGGGAAACTGTCCAAGGAAATTCTCCCCAGTTTCTCCTCTCATGCCCATGAACCCTCAGTTCTGTCATTCGGATCAATCTAACTTTAACGTTGATGTTATCACAACATGTCTGTATCTATAATAGGTCCTAATCATGTTGTAAATTACACTTTAATCACACATACCCCACTGAGATTATTCAGCATTCTAGAAATGCTTTGTTGGTTTTACACTGAGCATTTTTACTTTGTCATAAATACTGATATTTTCTTTCCACGCCAATACAGAGCAGGAATCTGTTTGGAAATACCTGTACGTATCCTCAAAGAGAACAGACCTTTCCACTTGCTGATCAATTCGAATTAAACACAGGCACCACCATGTTTTGAATTTCAACATAAGTATTTCTGCCCATTCCTATTGTTAATGGACAACCCTTGCTACCCATTAAACATGGATGTTAAACAGACCATGATCATTTCTTACACACGTTTTGTCACTATCCATCTACCTGGAAATGCCACCACTGGAATGACAGCCATAAGGCAGCATAATTTTAAGGTAGCTTTTGCCTTTTAGCAATTCATACCCAAGATGATTTCCCTCAAACACGTCACTCATAAGAACAGATACCAACACCGCACACAAACAAACTACCCAACAGCTCCATCCAAAACAGAAGGAGCTGCTTCCACTGATGAGAAAGCAGCAGATTTTCCCATGTGCTGCGCTGTGATTACACCTGGCCAGACATGCCAGGCCTGTTACCCTGACAACATCTCACACTTCCTATAGCAGGTAGCAGTGCATTGGCTTTCCTGAGAGACAATTACTTTCTGTGTCACTGAATGTGTGGATTTAGCTCTGGGGCATGGTGTGGCACCACGCTGTGTGATCAGTGATGGGAAAGCTCCCCCCCTCTCCCCTTTCCATGTGGAAAATGGATCTGAATAAAACGGGGTCTTGCATGAAATGGTGTCAACCACTTTCGCCAGAGGCAAAAAGCAAAGCAAGGTCTGATCATTAACAGTAATTAAGAGATAAAGGGTATAAAAAGGGGTGGGGAAAGGACACAGAGTTTAAAGGGGTGACAGGCCTATCTGCTGCAGCAGGGAGCTGTTAATGAAGGGACTTGCTATGTGAAAGGAAACGGAAAGCTGACATGTGAAACAAACAGACTCAAATTCTTAGGAAGTGCTCAGGGAAAAAAAGGGATGTAGAAGAGGAACATGAAAGGTACCTGCAGAGCACCACCTCACAATGGCGTTGCTGAATGGCCAGTTACGCTGGGAGGACTGGCTCCAATTTCACAGCAAAAGGAAAAAATGGGAGAGCTGCACATGTGGGATGTTCTCAGCTGCATTTTGCCCAGGTTTCTGCAGCTCTGGGCTTGTGTATTTTCGGTACAAAGGCAATGCAGAACTGGCTGCTAATGTGGAAAAGCAACATCCTAGTATTTGCCATGAGCTGGGAATGAAAACAACTGGAGCTGCTACTCTGGCAACTGTTCTGGCAGTGGAAAGAGGACTGGGCTCAGTTCTCAGGCATACATACGGCTCAAGCTATGCCTTGAACACCATGCTGAGTATAAACAGCTGTTTCATCAGTCCCATGGCCTGGCTGTTGTATTGGGAAGCTGTACAAAAAAAACAGGAAAAAACAGGAAAAAAAAGGGAAGGGCTGAAGTCTGTAAAAGCCATGAACATTTGAACAGTAATGACATTTTCAAGGCTTAAAGAAACCGATGCACAGGTCTCTTTTTTTTTTTGTTTGAGAACTGGCTCCTCAGTCTAACATCCTTCAGCACTGCACCAGAACAAAGCTTTCTGAGAAGTTCTCAGAGACATTCCCATTCTTCTCCAGTTTAGACCACAGTTACTGGTACATGGAGAGCCAAACTCCGCCACTGGAAACAGCCATAGGCCAAGCACAGCAGGCAAGGTGCTGAGACACAAGCACTGCCTTGGGAATTACAAGAGGTTGTTTTGCTTTTTGCAGTTGAGTCTTTACTCATGTGCCTCTTGGCTTCTCCTGAAATATAGATAACCAAAGGGAGTCTTTCCACTGGCACCATGACACCTTCTCCCCACCTCTGCTCCACTTTCTCCCTGCTTTCCTTCTGCTTTCACTGGATTATTTACCAACTGGTTCTTGCCTTCTCTTTCTCAGAGTGCTCCCAAGGCAGCTGCCATTAAAGGTACCAGATACGCTGCTTCCCAGGTATGTCACATACTGAGCATGAGAAATACCTAGTTCAGAAAAGTCATGAAAGGCAAACATGAATTCAACCTGGAATTTCAGTGGGAAATGTTCTCAAGGACAAGCTTCTGGGGAAGGAGTGTGACAGTAGTGAGAGCAGTTTTTAAAGCAGACTTGGGAATGAGAGACAGAAAATCTTCAAGCACACAGTGCTGCCTCATCCTGCAAACCTGCCACTGTGCTTGGCTCACATATAGCTGGACCAGCTTCAGAACAAGCTAGCTCAGAGAGGTACTTCCAAGAGAAGCAGCCTGTATGCATTTGGAATTGAGTCTGGGCAGCTATTTCTGTCAACAGCAAACCAGCCACTATTTTTTCCAGACAGGACAATGAATCAGAGACAGCAGCAAGGAGGAGCTTTCCAATATGCATTAAAATCTGAGATTGAACAACCTTCCCCTGGCAGGGAGCAGGCTTCTAATGACAACCAGCTCATGAACCAGGCCGGATGTGCACTTGCTGTGCAATCATCATTCTCTTCCAGTTTTGCTTAAGCAGTTGCTCAGAAATCTGTGCTAAGCACAGCTCCCAGATGACAGTGATTGGCTCATGTCAAGAGCAGTGCATTCAAGTCTGAAATTCCTCTGTCCTAGTTATATAAAACAAGGTATCCCTGTTCAGGCTGCTCTTACTTTGTGGAACTGCATAGCCCAGTGTCAGAGTAGAGAGCCATCCTGATGCTTTCAGGACAGCTTGTCAGAGAGATTAATGCCATGTCTCAGTTCTCAGAAGCGCCAAATGAATCCTGACCTCCTCCTCAAGCTTTGTCTTCCCTCTATGCTAAGGGATGATAGTGACAAACCAGGCAGGTGGTTGAACAAGGTAGAATACAGACGACAGCATAAGAAGAAAAGCAGCCTGAGAGCTGAGAAGATGCAGATCAGAAGGTGGCATCAGGAAACCCTTGTGAAATGCAGTGGTGCTAATCAGACACAGCAGCTCACAGAGGAACAAGGTGCTGACAACCTTCACACCAGAAAATGAGTAACCTTTGTGTGAGGTCCTCTTAGCAGCAGGCAAACACAACCACTTCATCTATCTATTTTCTACTTGAATAAACATACTGACTGTGCCTAACCTGAACTTGTCCCTCCCAGTGGAGACTGCTGTGTGGCCTCTTCCCTCATCTCACAGTATTGATTAGGCACGAGGCTGCTGTTGACTTTTAAATCTAGTTCACATCAGGAGCAGCAGGTAAGGCTGGTATTGCAGTAACTGCCCATGTGACTGAGATCTGAACTCACTTTGGGGAAAGCTGGTCTTTACCGAATGCCTGGCTGCTATTTCTCCTGGAGATAAGCATGGCAGAGAGTGCAGACATGGACCCGGTAAAGCCAGAGAGGAGACAAGGGATGGTAAAGAATTGCATTCTTTTGTAGCAGCATTAGGAAACAATCTTAGAACATGGGATATTTCATGTCTCTGGACACACTACTTCCTAGTGTGCTTCGAGGAATGTCTATATCCACTTCTTTAATCTGCCAAAAAACCCAAAGTGAGAAACATGTTCCATACCCAGCTTTTTGCTACCAGGAATGCACTCTTGTATCGATCAGGACCTTTGCCAGATTTCCAGCAAGGTACCTTTAGAAGTCAGAGTGCTGTTTACGGGTGCCACCGTGCTCACTGCACAGCTGGATTTCAGTGTGTCAGCAGTGCATATTTGGCTTTATGGAGTTTCTATTCACACACTCTCCCTACTTGATTTGTCTGAAGCTGCTGTAAGATAAGACATTCTGCAAGGCAAGCTCTAAATATCCTGAGTTGGAGATACCTATAGAAAAAAGGCTGATAAAGAAATATCCAGACAGGGATTTCACAGCAGTATTCAAGATAATAGGGAAGCCACTGAAGCTCTCCTTCAGTGCCTCCTGAATGGATGAGATTTAGGACTATAGGCTGGAAAGAGACAAGGGCTTTTACTGAAAGCTTTATGTTGATACAAAAGGAAAATATTTTAACTTCTCTGGTGAAATTTCATTCAGGGCCAAACAATAGGAATCATTTAGGTTTTGTGTTCACATCCCAGTTTGGTTTTGATGAATTTATAATGGCCCGTTGTTTCACAAGGAAATGGAAACACAATGATAGACTGGGTTTCATGCAGCCACTTGATGTATTCAATACTAATTCACAAGTAGCACCAGTTGACCCAGTTCTGCATTTTTTTCAGCAGAAAAAAAACAATCAAGCAGACGTTTTGCTTAGGTTTAAACAGAAAATCTGTGAGTCCATTTCCTACAGAAAGTTCTTCCCACAACAGGTTACTTGTTCAGTTCTGTCAAGGTTATCATCAGCCCCACACTGGCTGCCGAAATCCAAGTGGAAGAAGATGCTTCCATGTGTGGTAGTGCTGGGTCCCAAAGGTATTTGGGCTATGCTGTAGTCTGAATATCTATTACATATTGGTTGCAAGTCCTGTTTGTGTATTCCTGAGGGTCTGTGTCACAATGCACGAAAGTCCCACACCACTGAGCTGAAGCCTGGTCTTTGACATCTGCAGGCAACTGGTTTTAATGATCTTGTCAAAGCTGTGCTTGTGCTAAGGATTGTGCAATGCTAAGGGTGGAGAATTGGTAGAGAACAATGTTTAAGGGATTTTAAAAGAAAAAATAAACCCCAAACACTCCCTTAAAACTGAAAATGTCCTTCCTGGGGCAAGAACAAGAGCAAACTGCCTCGTGTCAATGCACTGCCCTGCTATTCTTATCACATACAGCCCTGTCAGTCTCACCCATCCTTGCTGAGAACATGGAGCCTGCAGCTTAACCGAGGTGTTTGTGGCTCCTGCTCTTCAAGAGAAGTACCAAGAAAAATGAACTGAATCCACTTCCTGTGTCTCTTTCCCCCAGCATTGCTGTTCCCTGAAGACACAACCAGGCTTAACAGAAAGTGGCTTCCACAGTGAAAGGTACATTCAGTCACCACTCTGGGGGTGCCAGGAATAGTGATGAGAAGAGGACTGGAATAAAACCAGCTGGTAGGAGAAATTTACTACCTGCTTTGTGAGACTGAAGATGAACGGTACTACAGGTCTGAGTCTAACACCTTCTCTGCAACAAGGAGTTAATGCAACTGAGGTCCACATCTTAAACTGAAGAGAGCTGAAGAGTTGTCTGGAGCAAACACAGCAGATGCTCAGGAACCTCTTTAGTTTCTTGTTCCAGTTTCACCATAGTATCTTCACCCCTTTGTTTTCTCCCCCCCCCAAGCAAGCAATGATTACCTTTTTCTGTTGCATTGGTCATGGAAAATGAAAGCCAACAGAGGGAGAGTAAGAGCACAAAATGAAGAAGCAAATGACAACTGGACAAGTCTCCTAATTAACTGTCAACATCAGATGCCAGAAAGACATTTTAGTGTCCTTCAGGACACTTCCTCTGATGTGTAGATACACAGTCCTCTACAAGTCACTTAACCTCTAGTTTAACTCCTAGTTTCCCAGCTCAAAATGGTTGGTTGGAAACCATAATTTCCTCCCTGAAGTGCTGTTAAGCTTGTGGTAATGAATAAAAAGGTGTTCTGAAGGCTGTGAATGACATTGCTGAGGTAAGTGCAACACACTGTGCGAGCCTGTGTGATTCAGCTGTCTTTCTGGATATTTTCCACTTAGAAAGCACATAAACCCTGAAAGGTGAATTTCTTTCTCATCCCCACTAAAAGCTTCTTGGGAAGGTCTGGCTACTACTGCCCACCTGGACCAGCACAGATGACAAATAACTCTTGCTGTTTTGTATCCTCAAAAGGAGCGTGACCAGCAGGTTGAAGGAGGTGATCCTGCCCCTCTACTCTGCTCTCATGAGACCTCACCTGGAGCACTGTGTGCAGTTCTGGTGTCCTCAACATAAAAAGGACATGGAACTGTTGGAACAAGTCCAGAGGAGGCCACGAGGATGATCAGGGGCTGGAGCAGCTCCTGTATGGAGACAGGCTGAGAAAGTTGGGGCTGTTCAGCCTGGAGAAGAGAAGGCTGCGTGGAGACCTCATAGCAGCCTTCCAGTATCTGAAGGGGGCCTATAGGGATGCTGGGGAGGGACTCTTCATTAGGGACTGTAGTGACAGGACAAGGGGCAGCAGGCTCAAACTTAAACAGGGGAAGTTTAGATTGGATATAAGGAGGAAGTTCTTTCCTGTTAGGGTGGTGAGGCACTGGAATGGGTTGCCCAGGGAGGCTGTGAATGCTCCATCCCTGGCAGTGTTCAAGGCCAGGCTGGACAGAGCCTTGGGTGCCATGGTTTAGTGTGAGGTGTCCCTGCCCATGGCAGGGGGGGTGGAACTGGATGATCTTAAGGTCCTTTCCAACCCTAACTATTCTGTGATTCTATGATTTCTCCTTTTCAGCAGATTTTACAACATGCTGAAAAGAATCCCATAAATCTTCCACTTGTTTGGATAATTTCTGGCTACTTACATATCAACCCAGACCTTTAGAGGACTGAAGAAGCCCCTTCCAACTCTCCCAAGCTCACTTTACACTTACCGCCTGATCTGTCTTGCTTCTGTAAGCCCTCTGCAGAGTGAATTTTGATTTGGGTGACTCTGCGCGGATAGCCACAGAGAAGACTCCAACATGTCATTTTAGGCTTATCTGCCTTCAGCTCCCTGAAAAATCATGCAAAAAGCAACTGAAGTAATGAATGTCAAGCAAACAATCAATGGTTGTGGAAATCTGGCATATACAGAACATGAGATTTGTCCTCTTTCCTCATCGAACATTTCAGAAGTTTGTGGTACAGAAATGACAGCCTTAAGAAATAAATGCAGAGCAAAGCAAAGTAAACCAGATTTGCGTCATCTTTCACATGGCAGCAAAAGTGGTGGAAAAAACCCAACAACTTTAAATCATGGAAAACACCATCAAAGCAAGAAAAAATTCAGCAGGCCTGATTTCATGAAGCACTAGTTTTGCCCTTGCAGACAACTACTGCTTTCAAAGGGATGCTCAAAGAAATAAGCAGTGCCAACTGTAACTGCAAACACTGCTCTGTGTTCTGACCTACAACTGGGGGCAGCTACAAAAGCCAAATTAAAAGGTCAAAAGACCCAAACTGAATTGTCCACTAGGTTCATAAGTAAAAATGTCCTGACCATGCACAGATTCCTGTGAGGCTTCTGGAGGTGACCCTGAACATCTCAAGAGCCTGATTCTGGAGAGATATGAGCTAGTGAGTCCAGGATATTTGAGGGCAGCCAGGTAACCATTTCCAAGGAGATGCAGCCAATGTGGGCAAGAGAAAGGTTGCAGTTGATGATCTTAAAGGTCTTTTCCAACCTAATTGATTCTGTGATTCCATGAGTACAACCTACCTGAGTTTTGATGGCACATCTGTGAAGAGCCTCAGTATAAACTTTGTAGTGATGCCAGGATGATAGGTAGTTGGGATAAGGACATAGCGGCCTTGCTTGAGGATCCTCCTCAAGAACACAGTGCGCATGTTGATGTACGGAGACGTGGCCACTCTCTCCTGCACAGTGAGCTTGTGTAGTCGATAGCTTCTGTTATCCTCCACCTACAGCCACAGAACAGTACAGAGATTAATGCAAGGAAGGATACCAGAGCTAATAGGCAGGATTTTCCCCCCACATCACACAGCCTTCCATGGGCAGAAAAGACAACGTGCAATAAAGGCAAATGGTTTGGCAAATGGTTTTTCACCCGAAGAAGCTGTGGCAGAGATAGTCCTGATGGGCAACCCAGTGTTCCAAGCACAAGCCCACACAGGCTCCAAAGCAGTGCTGTTTCACACTTCACTGCATTAGTATATATACACATATACCCTTAAGTAGAGGTGAAAGCTTGGGATGGTAAAGACATGCACCCACTAACAGATAAAATGCTACTGCAGAGATCAGAAGGTGCATTTAGAGATGCCTGCACACTCCAAGGACTCTACCACTGAGCTACGCTGCATCTTAAATGAGGCTGAGATTCAGTTGCCTCCTTTCTCTGTGGTTGACAGGTGACTGTCATATCAGTAAGTGTGATGCAGATGTGAGGAGCTCTGACTGACTGTTAAAACTGACTATTTTTTAGGGTAGGGTTCAGCGTAGTCCCATTAGCTAGAGCAACGGGTGCTAAAGATAACCCTGATCCTCAGTGAATAAGCACACTCATAGCCGTTTCTCTTGCTTCCCTCCTTTCAGTTTGTGTGTTCTCATTTTAGTCAAATTGCTCTGGGAATGCAATTAAATTATTGTTTGGGATCCATTTGGTTCCTTTTCACATCTGCTCATTTCCTCCTCACTACTCCGGCTTTTGAAAACACTCCTGACTCTCTTCTTAAGTGGCAAAAGAAAAACTTCAGACTTTTCAAGCTCATTCCCTTGGCTGTATTTGCTGATGAACAGGAGGCAGGAGCCTCCAGTGGGGAGGAGAACAAAAACCTTTCAAGCTTTAATATTTTTTTTTTCTTTCTCTTCAAAGCTTGAAGTAGGAAAAGCACTTAAAATTCTTTTGCAATAGGGAAAAATCACTTCTGTTCCTTTAGTTCAAATAGAGTTTGAATTGAAGTGGATTCAATTTAGTTCAAATAGTCTGTCTAATGTCAGCTCTGGTGACTGAGTGCAGTACACATGCAAAGCTCATGTTGAGAGGAGAGCCAGACCCCACCATGACAATCATGCCTCTATCTGCCAAAGATCTCATTGCCAGGATGGAGCAGGGCTGCTGCACAAACTCTGAGCCAGGAGTGCAGATCCTGCCTACCTTGAATATTTCAAAGCCAATGGGGATGCTGTCTCCTTTCCCTTCTTTCTTGTATTTGCGGCGATCCTCCTGTTGTAAGGAGACCAGTACTTTGTCCTCAGTCTTCTTAACATCAAAGATGTACTAGTAAAAACGAAAAGGGCAAGCAGTTAGAAATGCCTTGGGATAATGAGGATACAGCCATCACTAAGGAAATATGTGCATACAAAGGATGCAAATGAAAATATGTTTGGAGGTGGAAGGAGAGTTCTCCATGTACCAGACATTCCCAGCAATCCCCAGACGAAAAATTAACGCTAATAATAAGGATCTTTAAACCAAAAGCATCAGAGACACTGAAACAGGTAATTCACACAAAGGACAGCACGAGACAGCATTACAAAATAAACAGGGCTAGGAAGGACTCCTGCATCTTTAACATGCAAATCTTATACCCAAATTGTTTAAAGCAAACTTGAATGAACCTGGGTTTAAGACTAATCAAAGGAATTTATATCAAGTTTAGGCAGCAGCTCCTATCTCAATAAATCAGACTTGCTCACATTATTAAGGATCACCACCAGACCAGTTCATGAGTGAGTATGTAGCCTTGCAGTAGACAAAAGGTCAGATAGGTATTTCTTTATATGACAAAGAATTAAACACTCAAGTCTGTTCACTGTTAGAGGCTCCTGTAAATTTTCTTTCATGCATACAGAGGGCAAATCTGAGTTGTCAGAACCAGTGGAAGAGGACACTATTTACTCCAAGTCCAGACAGATGTCATATTCTCCCATCCTCCAAAGACCTTTAAATGTGAAGCAAGCAAATAAAAGCATAAAGCTGCAGCTCTGCACAGCTGGGAATTACGTGCACTACACATTCTGATTTCAGCCAGAATTCCCTGACAGCACACAGAGGAATATCATCCCTGGTTCAACTCCCCCCTCCCTTCTCCTCCAAGAGCTGCTAAAAAGCAAATCCCCATTGTGCTTTGTTCTGAGGTAGATACTGAGATTGCCTTGGTTACTGCCGTGGAATGATCCCCTGTAATGACTTCACATCCCCCTGTGGTCTGAGCTCTGCAGAACAAGGCACAATCCCATTCCTCATCCCTGACCCTCTCTGTCTCAGGCAGTGTTGCACCCACATGGAGGAAACACCAATCTAGCAGAGCTGGCTGAAGCACAGCAGTATTGGAAAGAAAATCAATACTTTACCAAGCCTCTGGGCTTCATTTGTTGCTCGCAATACTTATGTTCCAGATTGGCCTCCTACAGGACTACTGTTTGCTATTCTGGTTTTGGTATAAACTCAATGCTTCTTTGTACTCTTATTTGTATGCTATATAAATGTTGCAGCAGGGAAAGCACAGGACCCTGAAGAGAGTCCTAGGGGATGTAAACAGCCTCTGCAGAGTCTAAGAGGCGAGATACAAACACGCAGGAACACCTAATAAGGCACATTTTAATTCTCCTCCCTGTTCAACCACAGGCAGTGTTACCTTGGCAGATAGCCTGAAGTGTGCAAATGGAGGTGTGAATGGGGAACTGAGAGAGTGCATGAGAGCTCTCTTGGTCTGGAGAGAGCTATGCAACTGTGATGATTTTTGATCTGATGACATTTCAGCTATCCTAATGGGTAACAATCTGAAAATTAGGGGATGGTTGTAGGAATACATTTATACTGAAATTCCCTTATCTAAAGGAACTGGAAGTGTCACAATACTGCTCTGTACAGATAAACTTCACAGGAGGCATTTCACTCAGGGAGCACAGAGATAGATCATCTCTAGATTATGCCAGTGTGTGCTGCAGTAATTTATTACAGCCCTAAGCTAACATAAATGTGTTCCAGCACTGCTATTAAGAGCCTTTTAATCAACTAGCCTAGAGATAACACTGGAATAAAAAGAGCTTCCACTGCATCAGGCATTGCACTCAACTGTAACATGTATATTTTGTTCTTTGTGGCAGCTAAACACTTACAACACTTACAAATGAGACCCAGACAAGCACTTGGAATATGTCCAGAATCATACAGGGAAATATCTGACTAAAATCATCCTCTGGAGAAGAGGCACTGACAGAAGACAGAGCAGTGAAGAACTGCTTCCCCATCTACAGCTGTATGGCAGGATAAGCTGGGAGTCTGAGATTCATTCCTAGTCTGAACAGCAAAGGCTGCACTTCTCCTGTATCCTGCTATGGAAACTGAGGGGTGCAGACAGAAACCTGCCATACAATTGCAGAGAAGCAGACACAAGAACATCTTCAGTTAATCTAAAGTATGTGGTGAATTACAGAAGGACAGGGAGGTCAATTTTCAAAGTAATAACTAAAGCAGAAAGTGCTCAAATCTCAGTGGCAGTACTGGCAGTTTGATGCCTGAATTTGCATTCACTGGGATTCTCTGTGTACAACACAGAGAAGGGCAGGAGGGTGAGAAATGGAGTGAGAATGGATGAACAGATTAACTGAATACCTTGAAACTTGCCAGGCAGGACAAGACAAGGAAATGTCTGTAATGCTGAGGAGGGGGTGAGCCTGGGGAAAAGACTAGATACTTTCAGAACCTTAGATAAATGCAAACGGATACTATCTAAATACAGTGGCCCAAGTCCTTAGGCTGTTTAGGGATGTTAAACGAATGAAGTTGTCATTAGAAAAATGAGACTTGCTACCTTTCTGGGAACTTCCCAACTGGGAAACTGAAGGAAGTCCACACAGGACTTCACTAACCCTGGTGTGTCTGACTCATCAGCCCCAAATATATCAGTCCTAAACCAGTATCTAAACTCCTCTGAGAGGTTTGACAGAAATCACTCAATCAAGCAGTGAAACAGCAAACTCCCAGAGGACAGCCCCAGGCAGTGAGGCTTCTGTCAAGTCATCACTGCCAGCTCCCAAGCAGGGTGGGTATTTCAGAAGCTCTGGCTAAAATGGATACACTTCAATACCTCACAAAACACAGGGATTCCCACCTGGGGATTCTGAAGGAAGGTCTCTTTGTTATCAAAGCATCCACCAGAGCGATTTAGCAGGGGTTCTGAATTCTTTGCCCAAGCCCCATGCATCATCTTCTTCTCCCAGGTCTTGTGGATGCTGAAGTAGGAGGTATTCACAATCCGGCAGATGTCCACATCAGTGAAATTCTTACACCAGTCCTCAAATGTCATCCTGTGCCATGGGACACCAGGGAAGTAATGGTTTGCTTAAAAACAAACAGCGATACTCAAGCAAAGAGCCAAAATTACGCATGAAATCTTCCAGTAACCTAAGAGGAGGCATTGCTCAGCTATCCAGGGGACAAGCTGATTCACTGGAAAGCTCTCCATGCAGAAATACTTGGGAAGCCACAATCACACTATCTTAGAGCTTAATTTAGAGCAATATCACCTTAGTGTGGTTTGGTCAGCTCTGGATTTGTTGCAGCACCCACATCTATTAAAGGATAGGTTGCATCTACCAGGTTGAACTTGTTAACATGCATACTGCAAAGGTAAAAGATTATCTGCAACCAAAGCACTGTTCCACTGTTCACACCTTGGTCCTTATTGCTACAGCTGTCCCTGAGCAGGACTCAAACCTCTGTACTCTGCACACTGCTTTTATCTATCACCATCTCAATGCTATAACCTGTGCCTGCTGAAGTGACAGACTGGCTCGCAGAACAGTTAGAAACAATCACCTCCTCTAACAGCTTCATACTTCTGAAATAACACCATGTCCTGGCTTATTAATGTCCCAGAACCAAACCCTTCCAGTTGCCAGTTCTGACAAAGCCAAGCAAACAGAAGATTTTTCATACTGAGCCTTCCCAGCACACACTTGATGCAATATTAATGACCTACTGAAGCTGCTGCTGGATGGACTCAGCATATCTAAGCTTTAAACTCAGTCATATTGGAGTTCTAGAGATTCTGTACAGAATGAACACTTGTGCCCATGCTGGAAAACACCAACAGATACAAAAACTGTTTGGCTGTAATTGTATTTATAGGTGCCTCAGTGATGGTTGACCTAGAAATCCTACAGATAAGACAGTAGTTAGGCAACAGGATTGACACTGTGTTCAGTATTTGGCACTCGATCATGTAAACCAACATGTGTAGTTTTGATTCTGCCTGAATGTCCTAAATATAGATAGAATCATAGAACAGTTAGGGTTGGAAAGGACCTTAAGATCACCCAGTTCCAACCCCCCTGCCATGGGCAGGGACACCTCACGCTAAACCAGGCACCCAAGGCCTCATCCAACCTGGCCTTGAACACTGCCAGGGATGGAGCATGCACAACTTCCTTGGGCAACCCATCCAGTGCCTCACCACCCTCACAGTAAAGAATTTCTTCCTTATATCCAATCTAAACTTCCCCTGTTTCAGTTTTAACCCATTACCCCTTGTCCTATCACTACAGTCCCTAATGAAGAGTCCCTCCCCAGCATCCCTATAGCCCCCCTTCAGATACTGGAAGGCTGCTATGAGGTCTCCATGCAGCCTTCTCTTCTCCAGGCTAAACAGCCCCAACTTTCTCAGCCTGTCTTCATACAGGAGGTGCTCCAGCCCCTGATCATTCTCGTGGCCTCCTCTGGACTTGTTCCAACAGTTCCATGTCCTTTTTATGTTGAGGACACCAGAATTGCACACAATGCTCCAGGGGACGTCTCACAAGAGCAGAGCAGAGGGGCAGGATCACCTCCTTGGGCCTGCTGGTCACGCTCCTTTGGATGCAGCCCAGGATACGGTTGCTTTCTGGGATGAATAGATTTTGAGGGTGTTTGAAACTTACAGTACTAAGAACTACTAATTTTGTTCTACTGGCTTTTAATCCATCTTTTCTGTTCTTCTGTCATCCCTCAAGAGTTTAAAAGAAACTGACCTTGTGCCCGGACTGGATAATCTTATCCATGTGGGGAAGCTGGTTTTAAAGGTGTTAAATGGCAGAATTAATGGTAATTACTCAGTGCAGCCAGTATCTGCAAACCCTTCACGTGGTTCCCACTCACCAGAACTCTCCGTCATTCTCAAGAGTGAGTCCCAAGCGCTTACGTTCTGAATTGCTGACTTTTTTCCACTCCTCGGAACTAAAAGAAAAGAGGAATAAAGTAACAGCAAGGATGAATAATGACTTCAGTTAAGCACTGTCTCCTGGAAATAAAACTGCAAGGAAAATTCTCTGATAGTCCCTTATAAAGGTGACATCAGAGTACTGAAAGGACAGATAATATTCAGGAAGAAGTGACTGGCTTTTACAGGAGGAGTCTGAAAACATGAACCGATTTGAAAGCTGCTAAAAAGGAAAGAGATGAATGGGAAATTGTCACAACTGGAACACATCTTTGTTGATTTCCTTTGTCACACCCTCCCTTAGGACACTAAACCAGCTGGTTTGGAAGGCTGTATGAGATTGAATCCATTCCCTGGAGGCCCTTCAAAAGAAACCTAGTTTTCCTCCTCAAGAGCTTATTGAACACCTCACTCAGACCAGAGAATTTGCTTTGTCTTACAGCTTTTTAAATAAAAGAGACCTGAGGTCTAAGATTTCCCCAGAGAGCCTTTGAGAAGAAACTGCTGCAGCAGGAGCCTAGTGTCCAGTTTCCAGTGTGACACTACACTGCATGGACACCTCATTCCCTGCATTAACATACAACTTACATGCTCTGCATTGTCCCCTGAAGGCAGCTGCCTCTTTCCACTGACTACAGGGAGCACAGGATCCTAAATGCAAGCAGTCTGATGCTTAAATCAGACAACATGATAGAAGACAGTGTGATTCCCCTTCCCCAATGTGCTACATTAGACAGAGCCACAATTCCTCTCTCTCCTTCCAGAAGTACTTGGAGGATAAAGCTGAAGGTGGTTGGCAGGAGGGAAGGGAAGCTGCTTGCCATAACAGACACTTTCTTCGCCTATTTGGAAACACTCAGTTTAATTCTGTTAGGCTAAAAACCAGGGACCAGCCTCAGAGTCCTCAGTGCTTCCACTGGCAGGAGTGGCGGCTGTGCCAAGACAAGAGCTAGTGAAGAACCACAGGTTAAAGAAGACACAGCAGTTCTGCACATTCTTTGCATTTCACCTGGACCAAACTCTTTGAAAGTAATAGATTTTTTGCTAGCTAAAGTATGAAAGGTAAGTACTTATTACCCTGTTGTTAAGAACACTGCATTATTAAACAGTAACAGTGGCTGGTAAGCACAGCCTTGAATTGTAACATCCCAGTTAAATGTTTTTTCATGTGTAAATTGCCAGTGATGGAATACATCCCCTCCAGCCATCATTTCTGTCTCTCTAGAGGTGCCTGCTAAGCTCAATGCCCACATTAAAATTCATTAGAAAAGAATTCCAGGCATCGCAAATATGGCAATTTTACAGCATTTTCCACCAGTCACTTATTTTATCCAGGAATAAGAGGCTGATACCATCCCCAGCAGCTAGCAACTGCAGATGAGAAACTGAGTCACAGACAAAATCAGTGTCGAAGCTAGGAACAAACCTCATGTTCTTGACTCATCACTTAATCATAGACTATTTTTCTACTCGTGGCCCAGTGTGCCAGAGCAGTGATGTACATATACAGTAAACAAAGGTGCAGGAAGCCATAACCTCCTGGCTCTTCCAGGATGTCTTCATTTGCTCAGAGAATGCTAACCGATGGCACAATAGCTCAGCCATCACTCCTAAGTATTGCAGACTGACATTGTGTCCTAACAGTGTTTAGCCATGCACCTAACCAGTGATCGTAATCAAAGTTTCATCCCTTTTACAGCACTTACCTATCACTCCATGCACCACTCCACTCTCTTTTTCCCCAGGGATTCCTCAGCCTGATCATAAACAGCTTTTCTGCCTTAAAAGAGAATATGAGCCTCTCTCCAAGGCGCAGCTTCCGAATTGCAGTCACTGAGTAGGCATGGCCGATGACAAGACCCATCTTTGTCTCCACTTCACTGGCACTGCCAGAGGAAGCCTTTAGCACCAAGAATGACAATTAAAAAGAACTTGTATCATTAAGGGAGCTGATAGACACATGTTCAAAGGGGCAGGATGGGGAAGGTTTGTTTTCTTTCACAGAGCTGTATGTTCTCTTCCTAAGTGTTTTGCCTATGCAGGAAGACAGCAGCACTGGGGCTCAAAACTAGTCTTCTGCATGACACTGCCTGACAAGTCCACAGCACAGGAGAATACTGCCTGCTACAGCCATTCTGTCTCCTCCCGGCCTCTGAAAGTTAAAGACTGGGCTGGTGGCTACAGCAATTTCATTTAATGCGTCCAGATCAAAATCTCAGCAGTACATCTAAAACCAGAAGAGCAGTACCATGAAAAGATGCTGGAGTTGCTTTGAATGACTGGCCCTTTACAAAGCCAGTGCAATGTTGCTTCTGAGCAACACATAACAGACAGGACAACAGAAAAAGTAAAGCTGTATCAGCGCTACAACTCTTTTTCTGAAAAGAAACAATTCAAATGGAGCCAGCATGGACATCTTTGGATTGAGCCACAACCAGTCTCTCTCACCTGTGTTGGTCTATAGCTCAATGGGCCTATAGACACTCCCTTGGCAACAAGGAAGGAATATTAGATTTAGTTAGATTTAGAGCAGATCCTTGCATGGAAACTTAAAGTAAGCTAGTTAAAGAGCAAAACGATCAAGCCTTTGCTCTGGTGGAGAGAGATGGATTTATTCAAGGTATGACATTCACGAGATGCTTTCTCAGACACTTTTACCCACTGCAGAATTCCTGTGGTCTAAACAGACATGGTCCTTCTCCTAACGCAGGTGTTGCACTGATACAACAGTGTTCAGTTCCCAAAGATAAGACATCAGGGAGGGGAAAAGACAGAAAAGAGACATTTCTATCAAATTGGAACTGAGAGATGGCCTGGCAACTGTGAGACTCTCGCCAACACCAAGACTGGCTGACATTTCCAATGGGTTTGAGCTTTCTCCAGTGTAACACTTTCACTTGCATTTGTCACAACTAAAAGCAAACAACAGTCCCTGACAGCATGGGAGTCTGCAACCTCTCCTGCAGCTTTTGTTATCCCCAGGCTTGGCTTTCCTTACTGCTAGGCTGCCCTTCCCACCTCACTCTGAAGGCATTTATTTATTTCAATGAGATATTTAAACATCTACTGTCTGTTCTAATCTCTAAATGGTGGATCTCAGGGCTATTTTATAATGCAAGGAAAATGATGACATGTTTGTAAGTCAGCAATGAAGTCACTTGAGTATTAAATATTCTATACCTTGCAAGCTTCATTATGTGTATAATACATCTATCAAAAAGTGATAAATGCAGACAAGTCAAGCCAAACCAATAGGAACAGCCTCTGTGTAAACAATGTTTAGAAGCACCTGTGTTTAACTTGACAGGCAGAAATATAACGCTAGGAAGAAGTGAAAGCATTACAACTCTCCGTTTTATTGTTTTTTAAATACAGCTCCCTGTATTTGGCCTATCTCCTCCGGAGACCCATGTTAAGAAACAACTGCCTTAGCACTTGGGAGCAACCTATCATCTCAGAAACAACATTCACAATGTGATTCACATGAAGTCTGGTTTGCCATCCATTATTAACAAACAGCACTACCTAAATAACCAAGTGAGCTCAGCCTCTCAGCTCAACTCCAGCATTACACTGATGAGACAACTGCAACTTCACAACCAAAGTCAAGAAGTCTCAGCAGTGCAGTGCCAGCAGAACTGTTTTCTCTAAACAGATTTCCCTAAGAAACAGAGAAAATGAGCGCTGCCATCTGGCCTGTAAATGAGGGCATTCTGGGTGGATTAACCTCGGGTCAATACACGACTGTGACCATTCAGAAAAAATAGGATTTCAGATCCACAGTAAAGTGGCAGTACAAATGGCTTTGTGGTTTTGTGATTGTATTTAGTGGCTCACGGAGCTATACTTGGCTGACAGCACTGCCAACGTGCTGGTTTCTTCCATAGGAAGCTTTTCCAAAGCATACAAATGAAGGACACACTCAATATGCTTCTAGTAATAATGGTATTTTTTCCAGACTTCTTTAAACTGAAATTAACTCTTCGAATCCACCTCTCTATACGTACCGCAATGTAGCAGCTGATCAACCCGCCTCTTTTATGCACCTTCAGCAAGTCTTCAAACAGCTTCATCTGCTCAGAAATAATCTCACCATATTTGCCCTGTACCAAATCAATAGATTCTGCCACTGCTCCAGTAAAATCCACAATTGCATCTGCAGCGCTGCCTCCATCCAGCGCTTCATAAGATCCAGCCAGCCTGGAGGCAACACAGAACATTCTCAGTTACCAAGTGGCTGCTGTAATTCAGCTTGAATGTAGGAAATATATTTGTGTTTCACCACAAAACAAAACATCAGCTTGAACATAAACATTTGCTGGGTTTCTAGGAAAGAAGTCAAATGATCCTTAAGGTTTTGGGCTGCTGAAGGAAAGTACATTGCACTCTTATGATTCCCCTCCTCCATGCAGATTAAAGGAGTTTTCAATCAGTTTAGGTTCTCTACTAGCAGTAAACCTAAAACCTATGGAAAATATGACAGAGTTGAAAGAAAAACAAACAGATGGATAGAAGGGACAGCACTGAGGACAAAATGACAATGAATTAGTTCATACTTTGCATAAGCTTTCTCCAACAATGCACTCCAGAATTCATTTTTCACATTGGAATGGCAGTAGATCAACTTCCCGTCCATCGTTGGCAGCAGATCATCAACCACCACCTCTGTCCATTCTCCAAAGCACCAGAAACGGAAACGGAAAATCCCAGCATATTTCTCTGGGTTTTTTGGGTCCCATTCTTGTTCGTTAAAATCTGGAATCACCTGAGGAACCATAGAAAGGAAAGTTCACCAAATGCACCACATTAAGATTTGTCCAGAGGGCAGACAGCCCTGGGGCATGTGCTACGCTGGTATTCAGTTTTATGAGTAGCTGACCTCAAATAGATGAAGTGCAAAAAGAGGCTGAACTTGGTACAATGTCAACTATAGTCCCATTTCAAAGAATCATTTAGGAAAGTCACATTCAAACTGCTCTGCAGGGAAAGACAGAACCTATTACACTATTAACTGTGGCTTTGTTATAGCTCCTTTGGTGCTCAGTGGGACTGTGGAAGTCTCTTAGGATGAAAAAGTAACTTCTGAAGAAAGCGAATTTGAATTCACCAAAATTCACACTCGTTAGAGGCTCAATGGTCCTGAAGGGAAAAATGCTGGTTGATAGGTAGGGAAACAACAGGGTTTGTTAGTTTTCATGTACCAAGCACACTGATCACCTACCTGCTGCCAGAGGCTCTTCCTCAGAGCCAAGCAGGAGCATGCAGCCACAAACCAGCAGTTCCCCAGGGTGCCTTGGTGTAAATCATGGGAGCTGATTCCGTTCACAAAGAGGTGCGGGTCTTCACAGAGGTCCTAACAAAGCAAAACAGCAGTTACTGGAGACTCCGCTCCAGAAATGATCACAGCATCCTTCCAGCTATTCCTCTCCACACTTGTTGCGCATCACATTCCCACTGAAGCGTGGAGTTTCTGTACCAGGAAGTTCCAAAGCTCTCTGACACTGACTGCATTTGAAAGTTGTGGTACACAGGATTAAGTTTCTATAACTAGATTGTGTTGTTTTATCTAAACACCAGGATTTGCCTCTTATTTTATCAGTGTTCCTAGTTTTGCCCTCAGCTGAGGGTGATCTTTGAGGACTGGAATTAATACAACATTTGGAAGACTTATATGGCATTGGCACAGTTAATGAACTAAAAGTAAATTAAAGGAGAAGGAGGAAACATTACAGGGAAAGGCTCTGACCAGAAAAAAAGCCATCAAGAAAAGCAGCAGGAAATTATGCTACTGACTCCAGAACTCTAAGCTCCTTTTCCTTCTGTGCCACTCCCTTGGCTGACATACTGGAAACCCTCCTCCACCAACAGCATGAGTTATTGCATCCCACCCAGCACCAAAAGCAGCAGCGAATACATGTCTGTGAAATATGCCTCTTATTCTCTGGGTCTTGTCTTGCTTATTTATCTGGCTCTTATTAGAACCACTCCTTCCTCCCCTCCCATTGCTTTCCTGGCTCCATCTCTATTCACATGCAGATTCTCACCAAAGCATAGTCATCTCTTCCTGTGATGTCTCCCTGTGCCTCACTAGCTTGCCCCTTGCTGTGTCTTTATAGCCTGCAGATCAAGGCAGTGGAAGGAGCACCTCTAAGTATCACTGAACATGGGAAAGCCACAGGGGTACATTTTGCAGCAGTTTTGTGTTTATTACCAAGAAATCCTTGGTAGACGGTGTTCTGCAACATCTGTGGCCTCTCAGTCCCACAGAGAACTTCCCAAGCAACCCTTCAGAAAACAGGTAATCTGCCTGCCCCAGTACTGGTATGGAAGCTACTGGTTTCAACCCAGTTATTCTGCATGACTCTTGTGTTTTCCCTGACTGGTTTGAGAGGATGGAGGAACAGACAGCAGTAAGAAATTCTGCTCTTTCACAGTATAACTCTAAAATTTAACACCGTGGAAAGGAAATTATCCTATAACCAGGCATTAGAAACACGGAATAAATGACACCCGCTCCCCTCAAAATGGCAGGAGACTCCAAATTCACTGCAGTCTTTCCAGTTCGTTATCAGTTGCAGAGTAAGGAGCTGTGCTCCTTACCTCCCGGATCCTCACTGCCCTTTGACAATTATAGATGATAACCCCAAAGTACCAAGACTGCAATCCAAGGCTGGCTACACACCAGGCATGTCAAAACCTCTCAGCCTTCCCTTTGATGGGACTGTGACAAATCCATGCCAGCTGAACTTAAGCCTCACAAAAAAGAAGCACCTCAGTGATGAGCTGAAAGCCTGTTTTCCTGGGCTACCTTAGCAGATGGCAGCCTGAAGTCAGCTCATGGTGTGTCATGGTGGAGCTGCTGCTGTTTGTTGTAAGAAAATGGTATTTTTGGCATGAGATGTTTCTCATTAAATAACAATTGGTAGACATTTTAAACGCCTCTTGGGAAACAAGTGACTGATCATTGCATGACACTGTTCTTCTGCCAGCGTTTCTTACACATCTTCACTTAGAGACATTTCAGAGCTTATTAACGGACTTCTGAATAACAAAATGGTGCCTATGAAGAAAACTGACCACGTACCTGATTCCCACCCATCTGCATCACGGACAGATTCATTTCATCTGCCTGGATGCCCTGGTACAGAATGGCAGCAGAAGCTCCAGGCTAAGCACTTCAGCTGATGTAAGTCAACTCGGTTGCCTGTTGCAGGGTTGACATCAGTTGATTGCTTGGCCTTCATGGTGGTAGCACACATTCCAAACCCAGCTTGGATAGACTCAAGTTTCAGATCCCATTTCCATGCATCTCTGGCAGTAACAATTTCAGTTTGTTTTTCCTTTCAAAATGGTATTTTCTTAGCATAATAAACACGGGATAAAAGGAGCCTTCAGAATTAAAATTGTCCAGATTTCTCTGTCACTAGAGGAAGCCAAAACTTTCAAAAGACATTAAGCACTACTGTGTATTACAAATATCTGCTCTTATTTGGGTTGCTTTGCCCAAAAAACCACATTAAACTGGTATTTTTAATTGAAGCGTGTCTTGCGTCTCACACAGTCCTCAGAGAAAAAACAGAGAGCAACACGTGTCATCTGCCAAAGCTTATGGACGAGATTAACATTTGCTGATCCAAAGCAAACATAGAGCAGCAGAGCTTAGAAACAGCACCTCCCTGATTCCACTACAGCCACTAAATTCTTCAGGATCCTGCTTGATAAACCCTTTCTTATTAAGCTGCCTAGAAGCCCTGGACTGCTGAGACTAAACACCAGAGTAAGAAAATGACATTAACTCTTTTTCTCTTGTCATTAATTACAGCCACTGTAACAGCTTCTGTGATGACTGTCACTGTGTGGCCCAGATGAGATGCACACCACCACTCAGGTACAAGCTCTGGCTGATTTCAGTCGTTTGCTCTCTTTGGGGCTTTCTGCTTTTCACCATTTATGCAGAATAGCAAATTCTAAGGAAAACTTCTGAGATGGAATCAGCTAAACCACAAATCCCCCACCACAGTTAGAAATGTGCTATTTAAATACAGGATTCTGCAGTCCTTGGGAGGATCTTGAAGCACTTCTGGTTGTCCCAAGCATTTAAAAAAAACCCTAAAACAAACAATCCCCCCCTCCCCCCAGGTTTTGCAGTAATGTTCCCAGCAGTGATAACTTTGGACAGCTGAAGGACCAAGCCAGCTACCATCAGAGGAATTACAAGAAAAGACGAGATGTGGCCCAGGAGCTTGAGGAGACCTGATGCCTTCTCTCCTTGGAACCTAAGCACCCAAACACTTGGACATTGAAGTGCTTCCTTAGCAAATATAGTGGTTTAACCCTTATTCCTTTGCTCAGGAATGCATCATCTGTGCTGTAAAAAAAGAGAAACGGCTTCACATTTCCAGGAAAAAGTTTAAAGGAGGTTACTGTGTCTTATTATACACCATTAATGTATAATAGCCACACTATTTCTGAAACGCCACCACTAATAAAAGCATTTGTCTTATTATTTATGCCCACAAGGAGCATTCCAGCATCCAAGAGAGAGCTCTCCCCAGTTCTCCCCTTCTGCAAGTGCATAATGAAATAAACACCATCTGCAGAACTATAATTAGGCTGTATAGTCTGAAAGTGAGGTAAGAGGATGCAGAGGCTCAGAGTTCTGCTGAAAACCCTGATGCTCTTCTTTTCATACCAGACTTCCATTTGCATGACAGAAGTCTATTTGTGTCACCTCCTATCCCTGCTGCTCTGCATAGGCTTTAAAGATGTGACATTTAGTGTTACTCAACGATGATGCTGTGAGAAATGAAGTGGCTCACAAACCCCTTTTTCTGATTTAAATTGGTTTATCTCTTTGTAATGGAGTAAATGAACTGGTTAATGCCAGGTTGGGAGAACACTGAGCAGTCTGGAGATGAGAAACTCAGTTAATGTGGGATCACACAAAACAACAGTGGGAGAGACCTTGACAGGTAGTTAGTCCTAACAGTTGCCTGGTGTCCAAACTGGCCAACCCAAACCTACTTGTGACTGAAGCTTCTTTAACCTGCATTTAACACAATGCATGGGGGAAAGTTCACATGCTTCCTCCACTGGTTGTCACTGATGAGCTGCCCTGTAAGCCCAAGACTTCTGTGAATGGAGAGAACAGTTACTTTTCCTTCCTACAGCTACCCCTCATATAATCTAAAAGCCTGTAACAATTCTCTCTGCTCTAGTCTTAATAACTGGTTCTTCATATTTTGTATCACTGGTCAAGTGTGGTGCCCAAATCCAGACACTATGCTCCAAATGAGGCTTAAGCAGTGCTGAGCAGAGCTCAAAGCTCTCATTTACTGAAGCTGGGGTCCCATTTTCCTGTCTTTTTCACTTAATTTCACACATATAACTTGTATTCAGACTGTGACCCAGCCTTTGATCCTATTCTATGAACTTGCTGCCAGTCATTTGTTCCCCCTAACTGAGCCATGAAGTCACTTAATACCAAAGCACTGAATTTGGTTGCATTGATGAAGTGATGCTGAATTCCATCCTGTTTATTCCACACTATTTTCTCAAGACATCAAGATAAGTTTGAATTCTCAACTCTGCAAACTGGCTTGCAATCGTATCCCAGTCCTTCAGCATTCCCATACGTGGATTTTTAGCCCCTCATCCAAGTAGTAATGAAAATACTGAAGAATAGAAGACTAAGGGAGATTTCTGTAGGACTCCATCGATACAATGCCAGCCTGAGAGTGCTCCAAGTCATTTATTTCACCAGCTCTGCATCCCTGTTACAGAAGTTTGAATGAATCCAGTTTTTCATACTGTGGAGAAACATACCAAATATTGCCACTCTTATGAAAGTCAAACTATATCAGATCTACTGCTCTTCTCTAAGTCACAAGATCCATCCCATCACATGCTGGAAAGAAATCAAGCTGGTAAATCAAGCTGGTACGTATTGGTGACACAATCCATTTTTATAATGCAATCTATGCCATTAGACTAACACTCATCTGCTCAGGTCTGACAAACTGCAGTCAGGAATTTCACTGGGATACAAAATGTTTGGACTGAAGTACAGAGATGAAAGATGGCAACTTGGCTTTTGCTACAACATCTCTTTCTTAGGAAGTTTCAAAACAATGTGAACCATGGGACACAACAAACAGTCATTTCACTGGAGCTATGGAATGGTTTGTGTGTTCTCTTGGCATAAGTATTATCAATTTCCATGAATTCAAAGTTATGCTCTATTGGTTATAATAGGGAGAAAGACGTCCAAAGGGCTAATTAATTACCTGTGTATCTTCACAGATAGAAACTGAAGCTGCACTGTGAAACGCTGAGACATTTCTGATGTCTGAG